TAGCAATGGAACTGAAGTGAGTGTTTTTTGATACTTCTGTGATTCATAACTTTTGAACTGAAGGGCATTTTAGAATGCTCTGTGTTGTTGGGGTCCTCTAATAGACCTAAGTCCCATCAAAGAGTAGAACGTGTTCAGCTTATTTACCTTTGCATATCACCCTGACACACGTTAGGCACTTGAATCATTTTTGGATGAATGGATAAATGAATTCACTTATGGGAAATACAGAAAACCTGGGAAGCGCTCAGAGAGGCATAATGAAAGTAAATGAAGTTGAGAAAAGAGAAAAACTATACAAAGAGATTCCCATTTGGAGGAAAAGACATAGTATTTTGGTTCAGTAGTAGTGCTCTAGAAAATCTGGTTTATTGTATGATAGTTAATGATTATACAGCTCTTTCAGAAATTCCAATCTCCACGTAAAATACCCTTCAGTTCAAATATAATGCATTCTCCCTTACTGCCAGGACTTACTTGACCTCTGTTTGAACTCTATCTTTTAACACTGGGATATTTTGAGGGGCACAATTATCCTGAATTTTTTGGTAATAGATTATATGATTCCTGGTAGTAAATACACCCATTATTAAATCCTCACCCCAACTCTTGCAGTTACTATCTGTCAACCTAGAAAGACATTACAGAATCACTGACTCTAGTCACCAGGCTGCACTTAGCAGCAAAACGAAAAGGTGGCAGATTTTTGCTAATTTTATTTTATTAAGAAATCATGAATGTTAATTAGCCTTACACATAATAAACAAATGTCAAATCATTGTGTTACATGACTGGAACTTACATAATGTATATATCAATTATATCTCAAAGATAAATATTAGTTTTTACTGTTATCAAAAAAAATGTGTTGTGGAAAATTATTTTAGCAGTGTCTCATTCAATTTTAAATGTGCAAAATTTATTTAGATGTGACCTCGCTTGTATTGTCAGGGTTAGAATTTCCTCTCTGCACTTGAGTTTCCTCTTCTTGGAGCCCACATTGGGTGCCTTTTTCATAGGCGGGAGTTACAGTGTATGGAAAACATGATTCTTAGTAAAAGTGACTCTCATTTTTTAAATATGATTTTGTTTTTTATCTGGCCCAGGTCAGGTAAATAAAGCAGGAAATATTGTGTAGTTCTCTTGAAAGATGTAAATGACTGTTAAATCAACGCAGTGATTAGCTGCTGTTTGTTTATACTGATGAAAAAAGCAGTCAGTTGACTAGGGGAGAAACAGATTCAAAGTAATGTTTTACTGAAAGGAAGGGTTGTGAATAGTGTAATATATTAATATGAGAAGGCATGGCATTTCGAAGAGCTCTTTACTAATAGGATAGAGTCTCAAGTTAAAATTATTTGACTCTGTGCATCTTTTTGTAATAATAATTTTAAAAGGCCCCCTTAATGCCAGGCACTCGTGTTGAATTAGCTTTATTATTTCAAAACAATGTTGAGAAGTTTACAAGATAATTAGTGGGTTAGATACTTTTAAAATGATGAATCTGAAATGGCTTTTTTATATAGTGTCACTTCCCTAGTTCCCTTCCCCCTCTCCCAAAGAACATAGGCATCTAAAATGCTTTCCTCTGGAATGCAAAGGTGAGATTATTGTTTTCCACAAGAAAATACAAGGAGTGCAATCTGCTGCTTACATTTATAATTCAGTGGCATTCTTATTTGTCTGGCTCTTGGCTAAGAATTATGTGGCTGAGGAGAGCTGGAGAGATTTAGTCAACTTTCCTTCTACTTGCCTTGATGATGCCAGCAATGTGAAAGAACACAGTGCAGAGCCGTGTTAGGCCAAGCGTGGGAAGGAGTTAACAATAATTGTTTAATGTCTCACACAGGAAGTACATATTTTTGTGGCTATTTTAGCTGAGTGACATGTACCAGGTAAAAGGCACGGAGAGATGGTAAATGTCAGTCTTCATGGCATGTCTGAACACAGTGCCTCAAGGGGAAGAGTTTCAGTTTCCTCCTGATTGTGGGTGATCTACTTGGGCAACATGTGGAACACCATCCATGTGACAAGAACCATGACCAATACATTCTGTTCTTCTCCAAGTGGCAGAAACATCCTGTGTCCTTCCTTCTCTCATCCTGCCTTCATTTAGAGAGTCTTCCCAGTCTGTCCAGGATCGTGAATGTATTAGCCATGAACTGTTGGGCCTGGAGTTAGAAGGGACATTCTTAGGGAGAAGAGAATGTGACCATAACACACAGTTGATTTTCCTTTTATGTGTTAAGTGACCGGGACAGGGAGGTATTAGATATATTCAGGAACTGAATATCTTACTATATAAATTGCTTAGAGACCTGCCAGTTGGGAAGCCAGCTTTTTCCTGAGCATTTTCTGTCAAGAGGTGGCACATGGAAAAAGGAAGCCCATGCCAGCTTTGGATCTTTTTTGTTGTGAGAAAGTCTATGTTGAGTTGTAAGATTGTTCTTTTAAATTTCTATTCTCCCATGATGCTTTTGCCCTCTGGAGATAAAAAACAATAAATCGAGTCTCATTTTAATAGCAGCTTTCATGTATTTTGTTTTTGAAAAAAAAAAAGAAAACAGACTGTGTTTGACCCATGTTTTGTTTTTCTTACTAAATTTTCTTACTCTTTTAATATAAAATATTTTCAAAGCCCTCTTTGGGAAAGATTCCATTTGAAACTTTGAAATGGGAATAGATGTAATGTTCTGGAATATGGTCTGAGCAGTGCTGTCATTGGTACGATAGACAGCAATTACATTAATTTTTTGGAAGCCAGTGTCCTTTTTGACTTATAACTGGACTACGATTCATCTGAGCATGTGTAATTCCATTTGTACAGGGATTTTGGATTATTTTATTAACTTCAAAATAATATTTGCATGCTGCTTTGATGAATAAAGCTTCATAGAATTCCATACTTGAGAAGAGCTGTCTGAATCAGACCAGCCCTTGATTTTATCTCTTAGCAAGGAGGTGTTTCTTGACAAGCAAAGATTGCCTGACGGGTTCCTCCTCACACATACATGTGCAATAATTAAACAAACACATATTTTTCTTTTTGGGTGAATATTTTTTTATTAAGGTATCATTGATATACAATGTTATGCTCAGGTTTCACATGAGCAACACTGTAGTTACTACATTCCCCCCTATTATCAAGTCCCCTCCACATACCCCATTACAGTCACTGTCCATCAGCATAGTAAGATGCTACAGAGTCACTGCTTGTCTTCTCTTAAACAAACACATATTTATTGATTATGTGTTGTATGGGAAATACATTGCAATGAACTAGTAAAAGAGAGTTAAATAAGTTGGAGCTTACAGCTTAGTGGGAGAGACAAATTTTTGTACAGATGATTTTAATGCCTTTTCTTGACTGCTAAGATTCAGTACTGAAAATTAACTATGAACTTATTTTTTTAACCTTTTGGAAAGCTGCTTCTAGTTTTTTTTCCATCCTTTACAACCAAATAGAAAACAAAGCCAATAATCTATAGCATTGTATGTTGGTTCTAAAAATATCCACTTCACATTTTAAAAAGCATTCTATTCTATTTGAAGGTATTGAACAGGTTCGCTCTAGCCATATTCTTACAGTACCTGATACAATAAAAATAATGGCACCATCTTACAGTCATGCAGCAAACTTCAAAATATTTTCTCATTTGGTTCTCAGCAATCTAAGGCTCCATTATTCATAACTAATGACAGGGATAGTATTCTGAAGGTCTTTCTATACTACAGATTTATAGTCTTTAGAAAGACACCTTTCAATACCTCTTTTTCTCTGTGGCTATCCATCTCTCTCTTTTCCTTTAAACCAAAACTGACCCACTGGCAGAGTGGGGTCAACTCAGAAGTTTGATTGGCACGTAGTGTTGAAAAAATAAAAACCTGAGCCCCACATCCCATTTGCAGATGTGTCTTGAGCTGACCACTGTTGGCTAGTTCCTGAGTCTTCCTGCCCACCTGGGATAGTTTTTTTTGCAGAAAAATTTGGTATCTCTGCCTTCATATTGTATCTGTCCCTTTTGCTACTGAACTGAGTCAAAAAGCTTCTACTCAGCCCTGCAGCCTTGCACGTATGCTTGTGATCATCAAAAGTAACTTTGCTCTTGACTTAATTTAATGCAGCCAGAACCCCACCTGAAACTCACCTCCCTCGAGGAGATGAAGTATATACAAAAATGAGAACGGGATTGTCGAGGACTTACAGGAACATTATGGCCAGACCCGTGTCAATGAAGTGACTGGAGTCAGTTGATCCAGGACAAGGAATTTCACAGCCTGCTCAGACCCTTGCTAATGTCCAGATGTCTGAGCTCCGTCATCACCTTCTGATCTCAACCACTCCCTGCTCCCCCTTTCCCTAATCAAAAAGAAGCTTGAAATCAACCCTAAGTTAAGATGGTTCCTTGGAACATGAGCCTGCCATCTTCTCAGTCTTTCTGAATAAAGTCACTTTCTTTGCCCCAGTACCTTGTCTCTTGACTTACTGTCAAGTCAGGTGGCGAGTAGCGCAAGCCTGGACTCAGCAACATTCTGTGTTCAGTTTACTGTAGCCCATACCTGTCACAATTGCTCATGTGTGAATTTTCACCCAGGCTTTCTTTAACCTCTTTGGCCTCTGATTCTGAGGCCTAGACATAGCACCTGAATAAGAGATACAACAGCTTCCTAGTTTTTCGATCCCAGGAAATTTTTATATTTTATGAAAAATGATTGTAGAACTGCCCTACTTCATTTTAGTAAAGGAGGAAAACAACCATGTAGAGGGAATTCTTATGTTTGCTAAAATGACTTTAAAGAGGCTTATAAAAAATACCAAAAAAATAATTATTGGGATACACCTCTATCTTTGGGTCTTCATGGAGCTATTTTACTGTTATTTTTAGGGATTTTTTTAGGTTAAAAATAATCTGGCACTCAAAAATTGTCACTTTGTTTGCATTATTGTAACACACATCCATTTTGTGACTAATATACCCTACTAATGTTATCTGTTTTAGGTCACTGAAATGATTCTGGAAATGTCTCTTGAAGTTTGGTAAGTACATTTATGTTGTTGGATGGAAAACATTTGTGAGTGATCCACTGACCTATTTTTAATTGTTAAAGGGTTTACATTTAATGTGTAAAACATTAATTTTAAATAAGCTTAAAATATTCTTTGCTTAATTTTCCTGTAGTTTTGTGGTTAAATAGTAGATGTCAGAAGCAGGGCTTATAGAAAGAGTCCTTCCTCAAGTTATATATCTGTTTTCATAGAAATGAAGACAATTATTGAAGCCTATGTTCCATTGTTGAGATAGATATTAAAAAACATGAAAGTAAACATAAATAGAAAACTAGAGGGAAAACTGAAAATTGACATTATTTCTGCTCATACTGATCAGCAGGACGACCAGTGGTAAAGTTGCATGAAGCATGCTGCTCTTTCAAAGTGACCTCCAAAGTGAGTGTCGGAAAATCATTTATTTTCAAATGGTCAATCTTTGGGAAGTCAGGCCTACCTTGAGAATTGGCCAGTCTCTGATCTAACATTGAGTTCAGTAGATCCCACCTCTCTCAGTCTCTCTGCATCTCTTTGAACATCCTATTGAAGTGAGTTTTACCAAAGTTACTAGTACACATGTTATTTATACATACACCACATAGGTTAGTGTAACATTCTTATATCTTGTGATTTGCCAAATAATTTATGATGGTTATGTTGACATTGGATTTAGGTATTTCTTTCTCTTATTTGGATCCTTAGAACATGTTGATTTGACTTGGTAAATTATTACATCAGTTACCACTGTCCCTCAGCATATGTCAGGAAGTATCAATGGACAATCCAAGTTATTGGGTTGTATTCTTTTGTGTTATATTGATTCTTGCTTTGAAAGTGGTATATTTTGCTATGAGATTAGAAATATTTTTGTTGTTTGACTGTGAAAGTAATGCTATTTGCTTTAGTGGGAAATGGTCTTCACCAATAAACTTAGAACCATATTATGTAAAAGAAATGGGCTTTAACAGAGCACAATTATCAAAAAATGTAAGAAAATAAAAAACTCGGCTAAGTAATACACATATGCCAAGACTTACTATATATTTATAGTGAACTTTACTAAGGCATATATAAGTTTTATATGTTTGTCTTGAATCTAAAAAGAAAAAATTAAATTTTCCATGGACTGTCTTCCACTAAACATAAAATAAAATCAAGAAAGAAAATTAGAGAGTTAAAGACAACAAATACATAAAGGGAGAAATAAATGAACCATACTTCAGTTGCTGTATTTATAAGATTACTCAATGTTTTTTGAATTTTCTTTTTGATATTTTTATACTGATATCTCCTAAACTTTAATGGTCATGACTGTTTGTAGACTGTTTTAAAACTCAGATTTCTGGTGCTTAATGTACGATAATGATCGGTATAGTATATTACAAGGAACATGAGTTCCAGAATGAGAAGTCCTAGATTTAAATCTATTTACTAATTGTTAGCAGTTGAAAGATTTCTAATCACTTTTTCACTCATTTGTAAAATAGGAAGAGTACTTTATAACCGTATCTATTGTGATGATTTAATGAGATGTTCTTTCTAAAGAGCATTTCTTATCGGAAACTTTTCCGCATGTACACCGCATGGGCATAGTGGTACTATTTGTAGTAGTTAAAAAAAATGGAAGCAACATCAATGTTCGTGGATAAAGAAATTATGTTATAATCACATAATGAAAATACACCATAATAGTAGAAATGTTTGAATTAGTTCTATTTACATAAATACAGATGAATCTCAAAACCAAAATGTTTAATGGGAAAAAATTAATTTGCATAATAGAGTTGATAGCATTTATAAAAAATTAAAAACCTGTGAAATGACTCTATTCTTTAGAGAAATAATATGTATTTTAAAATTACAAATAAAAACATTGGAATAATAAAGAACAAGTTTAAGGTAGTGGTTGCCTCTGAGGAACAAAAATAGAAAGCTGAGGAGGATTCACAGAGACAACTGTGAGATGTTTATTTCTTAAAGCGGTTAGAGGACTTTAAATTGGAAAAAGGGTTTACCTTAAAAGTTGACTTTAAAAATGCTAATTCAGTATCTTACTCTTTTCCTTCGTTGTTACATAATCTTCATAATAATCAAATTGAATAACTGTAATCCAATGCTTTGATATACTATAACTTAATGACCATTTCCTTACTATTAGGTCATGCAGTTAAATGACCTTTACCAAACTTACAATTATTTTCCTTAAAGTAGATAGCCAGACATAGATTTACTCAAAGGGACTACACATTTTAATTAATCTTGATGCTCATTATCTAAACACTTTTCAAACGTGTTTTGTGAACTTATATTCCTAAAATGAAGGTGTCATAATAACAGTGATACTTTACCTTTTCCAGTACTGGAATATAGATAGTTAAACTATTTTTAAGTTATTTGTTTATTTATTTTTGTGCTTGTTTTTATTTTTATATTTTATATTGAGAGACATACAACAAAATGTACAAATCTTCATGCTCAGCTTGATGAATTTTGACATAGGCAGGCATTCATGTAACCATCAGTCTGATCAAGATACCAAACATTCTCACTAACTTTTTCTCTTTTTCTCCCCTTCATCTATTTCATCCATATCCCCCACTCCTCTCCCTATGGCAACCCCTCTGAAATATTTAGTGGTTATCTAAAGTTCAATTGTTCAATGACATTAACAATGACAATTAGGAGTTCTTTTCTTTGCCACATGGGGGACATCCATTAGACAAGGCCATTTTTTAAGGTAGTATTTCTGTAAGTAAGTCCCTTAGAACAGAGCCTTGGCATGTTAGCGTCATGTTGTGGAGCGGTGGACAGAGGAACAAGGGAAGGGATTCTTGATCAGGTGAGTTTGGGAAATACTGTTTTAAACATCTCTAAACAGGTTTCTTTTCTGAAGCACTTCCCAAAGTCTTTATTATCTTAATATGGCATTTATCAGCTGTTGTTCGCTTGTGTTTTCTAAAACATCTCATACTCCTTGTTTGCCAAAAACATGCCCTGGAAACATGCTGCTTTAAGATAACCATCACTTTATACTGTTGTTTCAGATGTCCTACCTGGAAGTGTCTTGGGGGAGTCAGTGAGCATGTATCAGTGTAGCTATCAGGGACTTGTGGGAATGGGTGATGCATAACAATGCTTCTGGGAACGCTGGTTCATGACTTCCTGTTTTATATGCAGTTCATCCCCAGACCTCCGATTTAGTATGGCTCTGTGTGATCAGGAGAAAACTTTCAGACAACAAAGAAAAGAAAACATAAAGGAAAACATGAAGAAATTCCTGGGTCCAAACAATAGTGAAGGCTTGTGTTCTACGCGTGATGTGAGTTGGAAATTTTTTGGATGTTATTGTAACTTAATAATAGTTTTGTACTTTCTCCCAGATTACACCCAAGTATGGAAAGATTGAGTTTGAGTGTTATTTTTCAGTTTTTTAAGATAAGATTTGGTTACTAATTAAGCTAATTTCATAAATGGAAACTCTTTAAGGAAGATCATCACAAATTATGCCATATTTAGTAATATTGATCAGCTACAGTTCTTAAAAGAGGCATAGACATACTTATGAATGAAGAAGGTGTTCGTTTCATTAGTAGGAAATGTTTAGCCTCAGATAAAAGGATCATTGAATTTATTTTGATATAGACTAAATTCAATATGGACTTAATTTAATATAGGCTGAAATTAAATAATTGTGGGAACTATCAATACTGAACAAGGAGATAATGCTATAAATATTGTTAAATGGTACCACAAACAAAAATAGGTACATGTGAATAGCAGAGATATAGGAAATATTCCAAATTCTTAATATATTATAGCAGAGAGTTAAAAGATACCATCTAAAGTTGACCAACTAGTTAAAATTAATGACCTCTGAATTATATTTTTAATAATCCTAGTTATAGATAAATATAAAATATTTTTGTGAACAAATATTGGAAGCATAATCTTTCAATTATACTTTAACTTCTTTTTCTTCCCTTAAATTTCAGTAAACTAAATGGAATTTCTTTTCAATAACTTGTACTGTATAATCCCATTTTTGGCTATTTATTCATCATTTATTTCTCCACTCATCTATCAATCATCTCTCTACATACTTACTTTTCCATCCTTATGTCCATCCATCTATTGTCTATCCATCTATCTGAAATCTATAAAAATAAATTGCTGTTATAGTCAGTAATACTGTATTGCTTACTTCAAAGTTGCTAAGTGAGTTGATCTTAAGTGTTTTCACAAGAAAAAAATGTTTTATAACTCTGTATGGGTATGGATGTAATCATACTTACTGCAGTGATCATTTCATAATATATAGAAATATCAAATTATTTCAGGTGTACATTGTACACCTGAAACATGCCATATTATATGTCAATTATACATCAATAGATTTTAAAAGATACATTATTGTAATGATGCTCATTAAGTAATCATGATGAAATTTCTTTGTAGTGGCATATCAGGTAATTGTTTACTTATTTCTTTGAGCTTTTCTGTTACTTGAATATTTTAAATACTTAATTTATTTCACACTCCCACACATGCACGCACAGACCAGGAAATCCAAGATCATTGTTAATTAAGGACAAAATACAACTGGGAATGAGACATAGATTCTGAGTGAGGGAGCCAGATAGGCACCCCTGTCCCACATGTGCTTGCCCATATCCAAATGTGTTTTTGGGTGGGGATTGGGATAGAAAGCCAATCTGCTGCTGTTGGAGTGGCTTGTGTTGTTACGAGAGCAGACTCTAGATAAAATGTTGTTTATGGGGAATTTTGCTGAAAGAAAGCTAGGAGGAGAAGTGAAATCTCCATTGAAGTTTCAATTTAAAAAACATAGACATCTCTTCACCCCTGCATCTTGCTTGCCACATACAGATCTTGGTAGTGTTTGTGGTTGAGTATGGTCTCCTGTTAATTAATCCTTGAAGATGCTTCCTTTTCTACATATTACTCAGAAGTTTCTTCCTGGAAAATTTTTTTGGTTTTGTTTTAATTGTGTAACAAAGCATTCGGCAGCAGTTCTACACCTTCTTTTTGTCTCCATCCTTGTTTGGTATTGTTGTACCCTGGGAGCAGAGAGATGGTATTTCAAGTTCTGTTTCATTTTTACTGTTTCTCATTTGTTGAGACACTGTGCTAGGAATTAGAGATGAATAGAGCTGAAATGGTTAATACTGAACAGTCACTTTCCTAGTGGGAGAGAGACATTGAAGCAGGTAAAAACAGTGATAAAAGTTCTTTAACAAGAGGTGTGAATGAAAGGATGTAAATACCTTGCAATGGGGTGACCCACTCTCTCTATAGTAGAGATGATGGTGATGGGGTTCAGAACACACCATCCCAAGACCCAGCACCTCGGCATTTTGACTATTTTAAGATGAAGATATTTGAAAAAAATGGCAGAAGCAGGAAGGTCTCTCTGACTTTCTCCCACCCTTCTCTCCTGAGGTAGGGCATTAGACCCTCATGTGAGAGCTGCCCTCTCTATACCTGGAGGAGAGGAACAGCCTTTCAAAGACAGGGAGGGACTCGGAAGAATCTGAATGGGTCTTGGTGAATGTCTTCCAGTTTACCACGCTTAGGGTAGGTCACTCACACTCTGTGATCTGTTACGTTTCTACACGACTGGCCACTCTTCATCAAGCCCAGCATGAAACATTCAGGTCTTCCTGGCTTTCTGGGGCTCTTCATTTCCTTATGAAGGCCCCCATGTCATGCAAAACTTACCTTAAATACACCTGTATGCATTTCTTCTGTTAATATCTCTTGTCAGTTCAATTTTCAGCCCTACTTAGGGAACTTAGGGACCTTAAGAAGGTCAAGGAAAACCTTTTTGTCTCCTCCAATGGAAAGTCCTCCGAGAGTTGAAGACTGTTAGCCAGGCCTTGCGGAATGAGTTTGCCAGGAAAAAGAAAAAAACAAAAAAAAAGGAGGAAAAGGATACCTTTGTTAATTCAGGGCCATCAGCTTCAGTTGGGAGACCCTGTCTTGTGATTGCTGTGTTTCCCCGCATGTTGCTCTCCGGTTATTTGCAACAATTATTTCTTTCATTCCCAGCTGCTGATTGTCCCTCTGCTCCCCTCACAAGTGATAGACTTGCCTCCTAATCAGAGAGAATTGAAAAGCCGTCAAATCCTTCATTTCTTGCCGTAGGATTGATATACCCCGTAACCTGTTCTCGTCCTTTGCCACTTCCTTCTTGGGGTCAGGGGAGGAAAGAGCCCCTTTTCTTTCAGTTAGAAACTCTTAATATGTCAATAGTCCAGTCTTTCCAGAGCCACGCCCCACCAAACTGTCTGCCTGTACCTCTGTGTGAACTTTTCCTATAAAAATGTAAACGTGTTTTAAACTCCAATATAAAGAGAAAAGAAGGAAGAAAAACAAAAAAACAACCCTTCTCCTCTCTGCTCTATTTCCCTCCTTATCTGTACAGACAAACTTATGCAAAGTTTTCCACACAAGTTCATTCAACTTCTTCCCCTTTCCCAGGCTTCTGCCTCATTGTTCTAGTCCAGCCCAGTGCCCGGTGCTCATAAACGCAGAGGATCCTCTGGCCCTGCCTCACCCAGCCCTCCTGCTGTAAATGACATCTCCCTGCTCTTTGAAACATTCTCTGCCCGTTCCTCCCCCGCTTCTCTTTATTTTCATCCTGCCTCTGTGGTTCCTTCTACCAGGTCTTCTTCCTCTGTGCTATTTATTTAAATATGACAGTTCTTCAAGACTCAGCTCTAGGCCCTCTTTCTCTTTGTTCTGTACTCTTCTGAAGAATTTTCTGTCCCTTCCATGATGCTGCACAACACCTGTGTGCTGAGAACTTTCACGTGTGTATCCACAACTTAGAACCTCTCTTCTGAGCCGCAGACCTGAATAGCTGTACACCTACTGGATTTCTTCACCTGTATCCTTCACATCTCAAACAGCAGGTCTAAATCTGAACATGATATCCTCTCTTCTCTGTAACTCTACTAATGCCTATTCTCCATCTCCCCACTTTCCATTCACACTGAATTCAGTGTGGTCTTTGAAAAACATGAATATGATTTTACCAAACCCAAGCTTAAAATCCTCCCAGTGCTCTGAGGATGGGCCTCATAGCATCTCTCCAGCTCCATTTGTTGCCAGTTCATCCCACATTCATCACCCCCTACGACCACTAGGTGCCTCTTAGTACCATGTCCCCACAGGACCCTGTCCATTCTTGTTCTTCCACATTATTCCTTCCCCAATACACCCCTCTGTCCACCCTACCCCCTTTTCAGTTAACTATCACCCTCCCATTCTATAATCAGTGCATAGTCTTTGTTTTTTTTTGGGACTCTCTCCCTCATCAAGTCCTCTGTCCCTTCCCCAAATCCAAGTTAGGTCTCTCAGTTACGTCATCTCTTATGGCACAAACATGCACATGGACCTCTCAGCACTGACCACAATTGCGCTTTAAAAATAGCTGTGCAAGTACTCACTTAGTGGTGTTTTCCCCATTAGAATATATGTTTCATGAGGACTAGGAGAGCGTCCGTGTTGTTTTTATTCCCAGCACTTAGCATAGTTCATAGCCCACAATAGAGCCTCCTAAGTCTTCCGTTGTATGAGTTAGCACACAGATTGAGACAGTGGTTTGGCGTGGCCTCCAGGGGGTGAGCGAGCTGGAGAGAGAGGGAACTAGTGTAGAGCTGTTACCAAGGAGACACAAGTTGAGGAGAAAGTTTGGATGAGAAGTGCCCATTTGAACTGTTCAGTCACAAGTACCTGTGGGGCAGATTGATGCAGGTTCCCGGGGCCTCTGTTCTTAGGTTTTCCTTTGCAAAAGGCAAGTTGCTGCTGCAGCTCCTAGGCACTCCGTATTTGGTGGAAAGGAATCTTCCTGGGAAAATGAAATTTGGCCTTCAATATGCATACAAATTGGCTTCTCTGCAACAGAATGAGGTAATTTATATTTTTCTCTGGGATAGTCTTCAGAAATAGTAAATTCATGTTTCTGAAAGTCATTCCTAGAATTAAAGCTTTTCCTGTTGTCTCAGTTTGGGTGTAGACGTTTTTCTGTTGGCAAAAATAATCGGTTTAGATATATTCAGCACCACCCATTCTCATAACTCAAGGAGCACTTCCCCATTTGTACGTTCTCTGTGGCCAAGAGTCTCCTGAGCCCCGCTGCTCCTGCTCCGTGCCAGGAGCCTCACTTTCTATTTAGTACTGGCCAGTCTGCCTCCTTAAGGGACGGAGAAGTGGGCTGCTGGGGCAGCTTGCCAGAGAAAGAGCAGCCCTGCTCCGTTCTCAGCGCAGAGACTGTGCTTGCCTTGTTTGCGGTTTCCAACAGACAGTATCACGCTTAGGACCTCGGGGTCAAGTTGCAGTGTTGAATGAGTTCGGACGTGGTGCATTTGGGCACATTGCTTCACTTCTGTGCTTCACTTGTAAAATGGGGACGTCTCTTACGAGGGTAAAACAATGAGCTGATGCTTGTAAAGCACCCAGCACAATGTGTAAGGCACGTAGTGGTTGGTTCAGTGCCGACAGTAGCTATTACACATGTATCTGGGTGTTGCTGTTCTGTTGCGTAACACCTGAGGACAGTCACTGTCAGATTTAATAACACCTTAGCTTTCCTGGATGGCTAATGAATTAGTCAAATAGTTAAGGTTTTTCATAACCCAAGAGTTTATTCTTCTAAGCACTAAGCCTTAAAAAATTTTTTATTCTCTGTAATAAAGTTTAAACGTTTATTGATTTTTAATATTTTAGATGGAAGTTTTTCTAAAATATGTAACTCCCTGGCCAGATTGAACTGACCTGAATGTTCTCTTGTCTGCTTCTTTTGCAGTCGAAGGAAATCAAATTCTTTCGCCATTTCTCCATTCTCTGTATGTTCCCTTGAAGAAATGTCTTTAAAACATCTTTCATCAACTTTGTTGGTGTGGATTTAAAATCTGATAAACAAGCTCATTGTTAGAACGGTGTCTCTGAGTAGTGTAATTTCTCCATGAAAAAAAGGGCTGAGATCTGTCTTATGAGCAAGATCTATAAGACTTTGAGCATGGGGATTTTTGACATATTTGGATTGTTCAAAGGCTGTTCGACGTTTCCAAATTACAGTTTCTGACGTGGAGTGAAATGCCGCTCTACAGTTTTACATCTCCTGGTAACTGACCATAACAGAGCAAAGCTGGGTGGAGACTGAAATCTGGAATTTGAATAGTGGGGATATGGGAGGAGGGCTTTTTACATCAACTTTCATCAGAGAATAAAAGAGAAAGTGTTTCCTCTCAAGGCAGAGCATAAGGAATATACTTCAGTTTAAACAAATAGGTAGTTTTGGATGATGATAGAAGGGAAACTTAAATAATATGTTGGCTAAGTACTATTCTTTACTTAAGTTTGTCATATAAATTAGTGCAGGAGGCGGGATGGGGGAGAACAAAGCCAGTCTCCAAAGGAGGTAGAAGAAATCAACCTTGAGTTGTCTATGAAAATGTACATTCCTTATGTTTATGCTATTTCCTTCCTCTAGAATACCTTTCTTCTTGTTTCTACCTTCATTTCGACAGTCACTTTATGCTATCAATTCTTGTTCCCCTTCAGACTGTAAACCCTGAAGGGCAGGCAGTTTGAACTCCCTGTAGTGGGGTACCTCAGTATGAATGAGCAGGTGTGGGCTTCCCAGGGTTGGAGTTTTCTCAGGTGACGTAGTGGTGTGGCATGCGAATGGCCAAAGGATAAACCAGAGCTGGAACCTGCTCCGGAAGGATGTCTAGGAGGCCCTGACTTTAGTGACCAGGTCATCCACTAGGAGGCAAACAGCTACTGAAGAGCAGAGTCCCCAGGGCAGCAGGCTTGGGGAGCAGCAAACTGTAGCACGTGTGTCAGGGGCAAGGAGGAGGCTTAGGGGACAGGTGCTGGGTGTGCTGAAGGGGGTACTGGTTGTTTTACAAATGAAATGGGCCTCATGCAAAGATTATTTGGCTTAAGAGGCCAGGGGCCAAATGAAAACAAAATGTTAGTAACATTGATATATTTTAAATAAAGTTTTTTTTTTAAATTTTTGTATGTGAAATTATGGCTACCCTGGCAAAATTATAAACAGGTTGAAATGAGATGAATATATGCTACTTTTTGTAAATTTCATGAAGCAAACCATGTCAGTGAGTCCCTTCCTTTTGTGTACAAAGGTGTGGTCTCAGTTTCTGATCAGAAATGGACTGGAGAGCACCTTGGGAGGGCAAGCATTGGCTACAGGGTGATGGGGAGGCAAAGCTCACTGAAGAACTTTCCATTTATACAGCCAGGGCAGCCCTTGGTGTTATTGTGAAGATCGGTGAAACTCAGTCATTGCCATCTTTGCTTTCAGCCACTAATCAAAAAATGGGTGCTAATATGTAAAGACCTAGGGTGCATGAAACAGTAGTCTAAAGCCTCAACAGTTTTAATAGTGGGACAAATGCTGTGATATGCTCATTTACTCTTTAAAAATTCAGTGCTATTTTGGCTTTTATTATTGTTGCTCTCTTTTATACTTAAGGTTGGCTTTCTAATTTTCAACTCAGCTTCTCCAAACCCTTTTCTAAGTTGGTGGGAATAGCCAGTTGAAGGTTGCAAAACTAGGTGTTGGCCACGTCCTTGCAGGTATGTTCAGGTATTTGAGCTCTGTGCTTTGGGATGTGGGGGTGGCCGGCACTGCGGAAAACTGACTCTCAGCAAAGCAGAGAAAGAAAGGGTTTGACTCCTGACTCTGCCATTTATTGGTTCCATGACCCTGAACAAGTTTTCTAGGTCTTGCTTCCAAGTGCCTCGGTATCCTCACCTGTAAAATGGAAACCTCCGAGGGATTTTATGAAAATTAAATGAGACAATTTCTGTAAATTGCTAAGAACAGTTCCTACCAGAGAGTAAGAGTCCAACCAATGTCATCCATTCCTATTTTTATTGTTGTTGTAATTATTATTACATTTCTGCCTCACTTAAATAAACTAGATTCCCCAGATCCAGTTGCGATGCCTGAAACATAGAGTCCACGTAATCAGATTTATTGAGTTAAAAAATACATAAGTCCTGTTAAGTTGATTAAGTTCTTTTTTATAGCTCAAATGATAGTATATGTTTTGAATGAGTCAGCATAAAGTAACAGTAAGAATTCTAGACTGAGAAGGAAAGGTGCTTACTTACTACAAATCACCAGCTTATAGATCTTGTGGAAGCAATATCATCCTTTCAGAACTTGCATCTGCAGAGTGAGCAAATGCTTTTTGCTCACCTTAAAAGATCTTTGAAAGAATCAATTAGGAAAAGTACACCTGAACATAAGCCAAGAACTGCAAAGGGTCAGGTAAATATAGAGGATTATTTTTGTTGTTATTAAATAGAGTTGGTTGGTCATTTTAATAATGTCTTCTTACTAATAGACATTAATTCTTGATTTTCTTATAGGAAACATGATGAGTGAAGTTAAAATTCTTGATTAGCAAATGTGGAGCTTCGTAACAATTGAAACCAGAAGGAAGTCCTTTTTATGATTTTCCTTTACCAACGATCTCTTGTTTCTCCATTCCAGGTGCCTGTCGTAGCCATACTGGGCTCAGGCGGAGGCTTCCGAGCCATGGTAGGATTTTCTGGTGTGATGAAGGCCCTGTATGAATCAGGCATTTTAGATTGTACCACCTATGTTGCTGGTCTTTCTGGATCCACGTGGCAAGTATACATTTTAAACATTAGTCGATCATCCTAAATATTTAACATTTATCTACCTGAACATTAAGAAAGAAAAGGGGATTCAGAAAGTCCAACTTTAACTTCAAATTACTGAAATGTTCCAACTTGATGCAATAATCATTTTCTTGAAAGTGTTTTTTAAGCCAAATTCATGTCTTTAATGATTTTTGTCAAAAATTAAGTCTGTTTGTAGCTTAAAATGTGGTTAAACATAAAATAAAAAAAGATCAATTGAAATTATTCTATATAAATATTGCAGAAGTAGAATAACATACCCCACCCATAATTAATCTTCCTATAATTTGCTGATTTGTAATCTTGAAGTGAACATGTCTAAGTGTACGTGATTCACTAGGTATTCATTTTCTTCTTTAGGGCAAATAGAATGAAAGGCAATGTACAAACCTTAACATACAGAAAAAGGAAAACAACTTTTGATAGCAGAAATGCAATGAATCTCATGGATTTGTATCTAATTAATTATGAAAATCCTTTAAATGTATTTAGGCTCATCTAAATTTGGATAGACATCTGTATATATAATATTTGTATACTGTCGATTTGCCTTTTCAAAAATTATTTGTAAAACATTTGGAAAGAAGCTACTACATACATTTTGGCTTGTCTACCTCATATAAGCACATGGAAAATCAAATATTAGCCCTTGCTCAGATATCTCAAATAAGAGTATCACATTATTACAAAATGTCTGACTTTGATTTATAAGGCTTTTTAGTCACCAGCCATGTTAACACTCTTCTATCATATTACGTATGTCTAGCATTTCAGAATTTCTGTGCCTTCTCATCCTGTGAGATAGACATGAGTTTTCTCATTTTTCAACTAAAGAAAATTTGACTCAGAAACCAAGTGATGTGTCTAAGACCACTAGCAGAGTCAGTATATAAACACAGATTTTCGATTTCCTATTCAAGGAGTCTTTCAACTAAACCACAACCTTCTCTTGGAAAGCTGTATACTCCATGTAGAGTCATATTTGAAGAATCTATAGTTTCTTAAAAGTTCAAACCAGATTCTTTAGCTATAAAATAACCCAGAAGTGTGGTTATCACCTTCTTTGCATGTACCCTCAAAATGACTTATCTCTTTTGAAAGAAGGGTGTAACCCATCATTATTCTTTCCCTTGAAGGAAAGAGCAGGCATCTGCCTGTTTAATGAGTAATGTGATGGAAAAACTTGGACCCTTAGATTCATTAGCCTACTCAAGCATTCTGTGGTGCCTCTTCGGGTGATTTTCTCTCTCCACACCCACTATTTGTTAGATCCCCGTGGTCCATCACTGACTTACGCATTGCAAAAACCTACTTTCTTAAACTCATCTAATAAAGAATGACCAGGTGTAATCTGGGGTACTGATTTGGGGAATAATAGTGTGTGTTTGGATTTAATTAGAGCTACAGTCATTGCTTGGGTTATAGATTTGGAAAACATCTTACTTTCTCTTATGGTTCTGAAGATAAGTCCTGAAAAATGTAATTAAGACAATTTTAAATGTTACAGGCCAATCATTTAAAGATTATAGGCCCCACATTTATGTATACATAAACATCTGTTCTATCCTTCAATGTCTCATTTCCTCAAAGATTAGCCTTCTCTTATTTCTTCCATTTCCTATAAGGTCACTCAATTAACAATTCTATATTCACTGTAATTTTCAAAATTAAGGGTATCTTTTGAAGTTCTTATTCTCTTCTACTTTTTTGGGGGAGTAAAGGAAGATAAGGTTGGGGATTGAGATATTTCATACATAAAATTGTTTCTCTTTCAAATTGCTCCTACCATGCCTTCTGTTTTTAGTTCATCTTCTCTGATTCCTCTCTTTTCCATATAGTCTTTACTACTTCCACTGCTTTTCTCCTTAATGTGAATTTTCCACCCGGACCTCCTTTTGGTTCTATTATATTGGTTATTTTCCTTGGTAATTTCACCAACTTCTACCACTTCAGTTATTACCCCAATAATTCAATTTGTGGAACTCTCAACTGTCCCAAAAGTTAATGATCCAAAAAAGGGAAGAAAACATGAATGAACATTGCAAAGAAGTCATCAGAGAAGAGAATCAAGTAAAAGATGAGTCCCAGAGGTCAAGGGTAGACAGTGCTTCAAGATATACTGGGTATTTTAATAGAGGGAAAATCTGTGAGAAGCTTAGCTTGGAACTGGCTTTGGAGATGTTTAATGGATTTAGCAAGAATCACTAGGTAAAGTAAATAAAAGAAGCTTTTGATCATGAAATTGCAGATAAGAGGTGAACAGAGGTGAGAGGAAGACAGGTGGGAAAGTGCACCTGGTAGAAGCTGACTATTATTTCAACAAGGGACCAGGGAAGGGCTTCTGTTTTGTTTTATTTTCAGGATTTAGGAGACTTGAGCATTTATGTAGAAGTCTGAGGTGAAGGAAATAGTGTAGAGGAATAGATGGAAGATAAAAAAGTAGTTGGATCATGGATAGGAAAAGATTCAGGCAGAGACAGTAAAGGACAAGATAAAAAGCTCAAGTGAAGCCTTAGACATTTCCTGAGGCAGAAGAAAAGGTGATAGGATGATTCCTAACAGTTCTCTCTTGAAAAGTGTGAGAAGGTAAAAAGTTCAAAGGAAGGAATTTGGAAACATGTGGAAAAACAAGTTACACTCCTGTGTTGTGTTAAGTTTTTATATTCTACCGATACATGACCATTACTTGACACAAATGAGGTCATATGGAAATATCTGGAGAAGCCCTGGACCTCCCAGGCAGTTTTCTGTGATCACAGAAGAGAATTTTATGTAGAGTAAATGCTTCACTTGTAACTGCTGCTACCTTTATGGTAATTATTTCTGAAGTTATTTTTGGATGATATTTGTGATTCATTAAATATAAGGATTTATCCTGCTAGGAACACTGACAGTAGTGACCTGGGAGAACCATGAAGGTGATCCTGTGTTCTCTAACTCAGCACAGCTGCCTTCCTCATCTGTAGTACAGCTGTCCATTCTTAGTACCGTAGGAGATATTGGCTATTAACTGCCAGGTTTGGATGGCACTACCAGCTAAAGAAGAACAGCTCTGCATCTATAGGCAAATAGGCCTAATTCATTAAACTGACGAAAATGGAATACAACAGTGAGAACTTTCAGTTTAACAGTCTAGAAAGAATTCCTGGAACATTGAAAAATGAAACAATTTTAACATAAATTGTTGCATAAGAGGTGATAGGCTAAAGGGTCAGATTATCTCAGAGAAAATGTGGTCTTTGTCGTGAGGACTGTGCTTGTCTTGTTCGCTAATGAATCTGTCCCACTTACCACATGTTTACTGACCTAATGAAGATTTGCATAAGGAATGGAATTTTTTGGGGAAAATTAATCTGGGGATTTCTTTACAGTTTTAGGGTATTTGGTTGACAAATGTCAAGGGTCTTCTCAAATCATTCCAAATCTTATTGCATATGAGAATCACTTCTGGTACATTTTTAAGCACAGAAATTCTAAATGTTTACACCTGAAGATTCTGATATGGTAAGTCCTGGCATACCAGGCACTGATATATATATTTTTATTAAGGTATGATTGATATATACTCTTATGAAGGTTTCACATGAAAAAAACAATGTGGTTACTACATTTACCCATATTATCAAGTCCCCACCCACACCCCAATGCAGTCACTGTCCATCAGTGCAGCAAGATGCCATAGATCCACTATGTGCCTTCTCTGTGCTACACTGTTCTCCCTGCCAGGCACTGATATTTTAAAACATTGACTGACTTGGAGGCAGAGACTAAACTGAGAATTTCTTGCTCTTCATCATGATTTAGCTTTTAAAATTTCACACTTAACCTAAAAAGCTTTCACATGGAGAGAATGAGGTATCCCCTTGTATAAATATACTGAAAAATTAGAGGCCAATATTTTTAGATGTATAGAGAAATAAATTGAAGACCCTTTCATTTGTTAATTAACTATAGAATCTCTACTGTGTCTAAGTCAGGTTCTGAAACTTGATTGGTATATTCAGGAGTCATTTATTGTTAAAAAGATGAAAATTAAGATTTAATTATGAAGTTGCAAATATGTATGTGCTTTAGGTGGTGGTATGTCCAGAGAATCCAGTAATGGCTGAATACTGCCTTGGTACAACCAAGGAAACTACGAAAACTGAGAAAAGCCATTTAGGAAAACTGGCCTTTGCCTGCAACTTCATCTTTAGCCCTCACCAAAGCCAAAAATCTAAGTCTTGGATGTCACCACAATGACATGATGAAAAATCTGCCCACCTCACCCTTGTGAATTCTAAGGAATATGGATTCATACATGCTGAGCAAGAAGAGACCATTAGCCCAATGCCAATGGTTGAGGTATTTTAATTCTTTCTGTTTTTCATTAGGGCTTGTATTCTCCAAGCCAACTGCTTCATGAGGAGGGAAGAAGGAGAGAGAGAAAGGGAGAGAGAGAGAGGCTCCCTGAGTGAATGAGTTCACTTCAAACTCTATGGAAAAGAAATGGACTACAACCATTCCATAAGGGAGAAAAAAAAAAAGAGAATTGGGCTGATATCTGTATATATATTTTGACCCATTAAAAAGACCTACTTCTGAAACTGTAGCACAGAATCCCAGCTTTTGAGCAAACCCCCAACACCAGAGAAAGGATTTTCTTGACCTAGGTCTGATGGCTAGCATTTGGAGGAAGGGAAGAGAAGAGAAGGGCCATCAGATCTTCCCAGAGGTAATCCATGGGGCAGAGGTACTTGATAGAATCATAAGATGACTCATTTAAAGACCAGCTAAATATAGATGGAGGAGGGAGGTCTTAAGTAATGTAAATGAGATCTGAGTAATTGCATCATTCTGCAGAACAGTTAGAAATGACAACTTCCAATAGCAGAATGATCGTATCATTTCCTTTTCACCTACCCTTTAAAAACAAATCATTCTGTGTCTACATCGACTTCTACTGACATTCACTGTTCATTTGCTTCTTTTCCTTATTTTTATCTGCTTCATTAACAAAAGGATTTAATACATCTTATAAAGTAAAACTGGATTGTATACAATAAAGTTAGAAGTGGAAAATAAGTTTAAAAATATATAACTAGAAATTAGATTAAAAGTTCATGATAACATAGCTTTGGGAGGAATGAGGCACAAGCTTGGATTTAAGCTTTCTGGAATTCCAGGCAAAATCCAAACTATGTAAAGTTGCATAATACATGTTTTTAACACAGGCAACCCAATAGTCCATGGAAGTAGAAACTATTCTTGTTAATAACACTGGTAAAGAACTTAGTGCTCTTATGAAGAGTTAAGTGTATCCAGAATTGACCACGTAGAGATATAAAAGGATATTTTATTTCCCTATTTTTATTATGTCCTTAAATATGAACCAATATCATTCTGACAGTATATGCATTTATTGAAAAGTATGATGAGGTCCAGAAAATGGGACTTTCTTTAGTGATCTAAATGAATCATGTGGTAGACTTTGGAGTAATTACAGGAATGCGTGGACTCTGTCTAAACTGTATTTTTTGTCAATATTTGGTGATTATACCAGCTTGAGTTCAGAGTAGATTTACTTGATTTATCTTTATCACATGTTTGTGGGAAATGTTAGGAATTTAATTTGTATAATAAAAAATCTTTGAAGAATTTTTAAATTTTTTTGTAGAGTATGTGTTCCATCTTAGTCCTATCATCACCTTCCATTTATTAATGTACAATTATTCTTAATTTGTCTCCAAAGAACTATGAATCCAAAAAGAAATTCTGATCTGATGTGAAGTGGGAATGGTGTGGTACCAAAGAATAGAAATCTTAATTAGAAGATTTTAAAATTAAATTCTGGTTCTTCTGTTATTAATTGGGGAATTGTGACCATGTTATTTTAAGTTCATCAATCCTTTCTTTCCTTATCTTTGTAATAGAAGAAAGAAATGAAAGCTATTGCAAGTCTTCCAAAATGACATCTGTGAGCAGTTAACCAGCTCAGTCCTAGAACCTAGCAGACACCCAAAAGGAGTTAGTTTTCTCCTTCCCTGAATAGAAGAAAAACTATTACGATAGGCATTTTGACTTGAATGTCAAGGAGCCAGGAGATTTAGATATGTGCACTTTTCTCTTTGATTGGATGAAATAGTGGAATATTTATTTCTTTCATTATTTTGTTCTCTTGGCCCAACAGTCCAAAAAACTGTTTGCCATATGCCAGGCGTTCGCTAGTCATTGAGGCTAAAAAAGGATGAATGAGCAAAGCTTTCCCTGCAATAGGTCACAATTTACTTACTAAGGGAGACAGATCAGTAAACTAATAATTAATATTCAGCGTGGGAGCTGTACTACTAGAGATACTGGTTCACAGGAAGGAAGGTGGGAATTGAATGTCTATTGCCGAAACATCAAATATTTAGGTGATTTGGTGGTTTCTACTATCAATTGATGTAGCCAAAAGGCTGGTGGCCAAGATACTTCCAGAAGAAAGCATTTACCTTAAGGACCTATTCTTTTCCAGGATTTCACCATCAGATTTGTGCACTCACAAGTTCAAAGACCTACACTTGGCATGGTGTGGGATGCTGCCTAGTTGACCAGTGGGTAGTAAAAAAAAAAATAACAAACACATTTTTCAGGAGAATTAGGCATTCGCAACAGTTTGGACAGCACATCTTCTATCTGTAGAAACTCATCATGGAAAGCCACATTATCAGATTTTTTGAGTCACGTTATCAGATTCCCTGACTAGTATATCCAGACAAATCAGTTTATTTACATGACTCAGATGTGTTGTGTCATCAGTCTCTGATAAAATCTTAGAGGGGTAGCATTCCCAGAAACTAGACAATAATAGGCCTGATAGGACATCGTCTCCTCTGGGTGGGAAGTCCAATGTTTCCTCTGAAACTTCCCCTTTATTTTACTTCCATTGTAGACCCACTCCCTTCTGACTGATGCATTATTTCCTTAAATGGATTAATATCTTCAATCAAATAATTAAGTTAATCAACTTTTTCTATGATTATTTTTCTTATGACAGAGAGCACTTGCTTTCTTTGGAAATTGCTATCTGATGCCCATTGTCTTTACAGATTATCTTTTGTTTTCTTTATAGGTACATGTCAACCTTATATTCTCACCCTGATTTTCCAGAGAAAGGGCCAAAGGAAATTAATGAAGAGCTAATGAAGAATGTTAGCTACAACCCCCTTTTACTTCTCACACCACAGAAAATTAAAAGATATGCTGAGTCTTTATGGAAGAAGAAAAGCTCTGGACAGCCTGTCACGTTTACTGATATCTTTGGGATGTTAATTGGAGAAACACTAATTCACAATGTAAGCTATGGCTCAATTGGCAACCCTTCTAATACAAGTAGACCCTGTATATTGTAGTGTTTGAAATAAACAGAATATGATATACTTTGTAAGAGTTACTTGACTCAATTTATCCTATCAATGATGTATACTGACCTCCTCCCCACCAGCTGTAACTCCTATGCTCACTAATTCATTCTGACTAACAGTTTTGATGTGTAAGGAAGTGCTTTTGTTTCCCTTTTCTTTGGAAAGATATACATTTTAACCTTTAGCTGATGGTCATCTTTTTAGATAAGGAGGTGAGTGCAAGTAATATGTTAGTGGTAGAGGGAGAATGGAGAGGGCATGGAGTCTGCAAAGGAAATGAATCACATGGAACAAACCCATTTGACACATGACCCCAGTGTGACATTTCATCTGAAGATAAAGCGGGGGGAGATAGAGTCTGCGCCAGGGAATCCAGGGGCTAAATTCTTTCTGAGCTTCATAGCTGCCAAACCATCCTCCAGGGCAAATGTAGACACAGTCCCTAGAGTTATGGTTCTTTTAAGAATGGAGGTAATTACTTCCACAAGAGCTTGCTTTTTATTGTTTGTTATTCAGATTTCTAGAAGAAATAAGACTTACTTGTATTTTAAAACTTTAGTGCCTTGATTGAGAGTACTACTTTAGTTTTCTATCTCTATCTGTTTGTATATTTAAACCATTTCTTTCTTTCTTTTGGGTACAGAGAATGAACACTACTTTGAGTAGTTTGAAGGAAAAAGTCAGTACTGCCCAGTGCCCTTTACCTCTTTTCACTTGTCTCCACGTCAAACCTGATGTTTCAGAGCTGATGTTTGCAGGTATGTAATTTCCCTTTTCAGAACATTTCCTGGGACCTTTGAACTGTGGTTCTGAAATATTTTTTCTAGAGCAAGGTCATAAGCAATATCAGTTGCTTTCTTTACTATATTTCTATAACACAAAAACATTTGAAAACATAAAAAAATATTAAGCTAGATGATTTTCTGGTTTGTAGAGAATATTCCATTAAGGTAGTTACTAATAGATCCTCATTAAAATTCATGAAATAAAAAATAAGCTATACAAAAAAATCACAAATATTATCAATAATTTTCCATTTTAGTTAGCAAAATAGTGTGCCTAGGGGCTTTTAGGCAATGCAGATTCTTTTGCTTGCTGCTTATATTTTCATGAAATTGGGTAACACGATATATGTTTATCATTCAAAGTACTATTCTAATTTTTATAATTCAGCACCTATAAAGTACTGGCCTGTACTTGTGGCAGCTGGTGAACAAAATCCCCATTTTGTTAAACCTCAGATATAGACCTCTGCTTCTTCTATAGCTTTACTTCTTGTTTTGTGCTCTAAAAGTACGTGACATCTTACTTCTAGGGGTCTCTGCCAGTCCTAGCCTTCAGTGTGGTAGCATTTCTAACTGTGGATGGTAGGGCTCATTGCATTTTTAAGACAATTACCTCAGTGACATCAACCCCACCGTGAGCTTAAAAAATCATTGTGAGTGGTATGTAATTAACAGATTTATATCATTTTGCAGTTTTACCAACTGTCCCTTTTTCCCTGAATGGACTGTTCTCAGGCAAGAAGTTGAATAGTTTATAAAAAGTAGTGCACCTAGAATTCATTCATTCAACAAGTGTTTATCAATTTTATTGACTAAAATGTTTATCAGGTTTATGGTTTAGAAAGCACTTACCATGTTTATTAGCTTACTCAATTTTTTCTACAATCCAGGGAGGGAAGTATGTTTTTTGCTCTGCTTCACAGAAACAAAAATGAAACATCAGAAAAATTAAACGATCTGCACATTGTCACACAGAAAGTAAGCAGCAGAGCTGATAATTATTCTACTTATAAAAATACTGGCTTCCCTGATTGCTGACCACATCAAACGTAGTATGCCAGCTGCTAGGAGCGAACTGAGCTCCCCCACCACACCTGCTCCATAAGACCTTATAATCTGTCTGTGAAATCAACAATTGTTGAATAAGTTAAAGCACAAGAAAGAATAGAGTGGCACTAGGCACTGTTCCCTTCACCAAGTTATGTGACATCTTTTAGCTTCAGATTCCTCATTTGTTAGTTGAGGATGAGACTTTCCTCCCAGTATTTGCTAAATAAATGAGATAAACCATGTAAAGTACTTAAAACCGTGGCTGGCCCAAATTAAGTTTCTATTAATCTTAACAATTTGAGGGGTTGTATGAGAGCTATATGAGAAAAATCAGAGGTCTGGATCTTAAAGAGGAATGAGATTTGTATGTAAAAGGCAAATTTAACTATTGGATCGGGGGAGGGTAAGGCAATCAGTAAGAGCCTGCGGTAATGATCGCATGCTCATCAGCAATGAAGAGCCATGCCTTGATGGTCATGGAGTTAATAGAGAGAGTTGAGATTTTATCATGTATGAAAAGAGCATGTTGCTATGATGAAATTGTTTTGTTTGCATTTTTAAAAATTTTTTGCTTTCCTATAACTGTTGTCTTGTGAGGTTTTAGAATGTTTGGAAATAACCAATTTAATAGATACCACTAGCATGCTAGTTAAATCTGTGCATAGCCCAATAAGCCATCTTTTACCCCAGAAACCTTATCTAGTCAAACAAGCGTTAGACGAATTTGGAATCCTTGCCCTCCAACTGAAATACCTTGGGTGGGTCATGTAAAATTCCTGATTCTAATTTTCTTCATTATTTTTTAAAAAAAGATATTAGTAAAAATCAGGTTTCTTTTACAGAGCTATTAAGACAACCACATGAGATATGCATAAGAATGAATATGACAGAAAGACATAAAAATAAAATATTATTACTATTGTTATAGTTGTTACGGTATTTTCCTGTCTTTTTATTCTGTATTCTTAGTTGCCATTCTCAAAAGAAAATCTGAATAAAATAATTAAAGAACAAATAATATTTCAGCAAGTGAATATTTTGGATTTATTTAGTGAGAAAAGGCTGTTTAAAGTTCTTAGTAGTCTTTTGACTTGATTGTGTTTGAATTGGGCCATATGCCTAACTGCAATATTGTTACTGAGAAGAGAGATGCCCCATTGACCTTAATTGTTAAGTGTCTCTGATAAAGACGTTCAAGCTGTTTCTTCCAACAGAGTTGGAAAAAGCCATCAAACATTAGTTATGTGGATCTTGTACCCAGATAAGCCATTCAAAGGTGCATGTTATCAGGGTTCAAGTAGCTTGAGTTATGTGAAAAAAAAGAATGGAGACATGTCTATACTTTGTGCCTTTAAATTTTGCTTAGATTAGAAGTGGATATTCAGGGGGAAAAGTTGAATTGTGATGTGAATTATATTTTTAAAAGTCCAAGAACCAAATAGTTTAGCTTACAGAAGTTTTATCAACTTGACTTGAACAATAACAGAGGATGTTTTTCTTCCTTCTTAGAATAGTTTTAAACACTTTCTCTTTCTGAAGATTTTAAACAAATAAACATTGGTTGTTTAAACTGTTAAATATTTTTGATCCTTCCACTTTAGTACATTGCTGAGAGGATTTTAAAACTTTCATTTTCAAATTCCCATTGGTCAGAAATTTGCATTTACTGGACTCAACATCATGTAGGGTCTTAGACACTCTGGGAGTACTAATATAGTACTCTCCCTTAAGAAAGTTACAAACCCATTAACAAGAGAAAAATAAAACATTAAAAATAATGAACCACACACATAGAATACTATCACCTGTTGTAGTGTGTAAAACTGACACAGCAGAAAGAATCAGATTTATTATGATTGCAAGAAAGACTTCATGAGGTGATGCAACGCAGATTAAGGTTGAACCTGGAAAAATCTATGAGGTGGAGGTGACAAGTCATCTTTGTGTGAAAGAGCATGAAAACATGCTCAGAAGGGAAGCCAAAGAAAGGTTTTGGGGACCAGCAAAAAGAAACTAGCCTTCGTATGAACTGATGAAGGGTAGCTGGTATACTTGGGAAAACCATTAGTGCCAAGTATAGAAAGTCTTAAATTCCAGACAGCAATGTGTTTATTCGGTTATGATGATACTGGGAAATATCTGATATTTTGGGGTAGGGCAACAAAATTATGCAAAGAGTGTTTTTGAAAAAGTATTTTGGTGATTCATATGGGTACATCAGCAGGAAAGAAAGGTCCTGGGACTAGGGAGATATGGATAAGGAAAGAGAGGAGAAGACGAATGGGGGAGCCTGAAGGTTACCAGTGAGACGTGGAGATGGATGGATTTGATGTGAATGAAAGAGTGGTTTCAGTTTAAGCAATATTTTTTTTTCTGGGCTGTGAGAGCATGGTTTACAGAAACAGGTGAATTAGACTGGAAGGAAAGGTGATGAGTTCCATTCTAGGCAAGTATAATGGGATGTGAAGACAGCATATCCAACTGTAAGTGCACAACAGGAAGTTGGGAATGAGTAGATGGAGGTGCCAGAGAGGAGTTCAGGTTTGAAATGTGCAAGTCAACAGCAGAGGAATAATGTTCAAATCCTATCATGGCGAGTGCATCAGTAAGGATCGGAGAGCAAATATTACCCCCTGAGAATGTCTGTAATTACTGTGTGCACAAGCCACAACATTAATAAAGAAGAGATTGCTAGAAAAGTGGGAACCAGGAAGTTATGTTTCAATACCCATGATAAGGGTGTGAATTCAGAGATAGGAAATTACTTGTGTGGTATAGAAATTTTCCTAACAACCTCTGATTCATTGCTAGTCATGCCTCACTAACTCCACGTAAATCATTTAAAAATACACCACTTTCTGATGAAGGGCATATGTGCCGTTTGGCTTTGATTTGAAATGAATTATTTTATGTTCTTATCACAATTGTGATTTCATAACTTCCTTCACAAAACTGTAACGTTTTGATTTATCATGGACTAAACAATGAATATCCATCCACAGTTCCTTTCTAAAGCGTTGAGGCCAGATGTTTGGGAATTCACAGAATTTTAGATTTTAAAGTTAAAAAAATTAATACTGCAAATTACATAATACCCCATTGGGATATTATAATTAAATAGTGATTTCTCCAATAGAATGTATCAATGTTCACACCGAGTGGGAGAAATCAACATTAAGCCTCACATCATTTCAAGACTGGTTTTTCTGCTAAATGAGTTCAGTTCATGTTTTACCACCACATGAATGTCAAAAAGCACTTACAGATTTTGGAGTTAATGGATTTTGGATTACTGGGTAAGGAGCTGTAGACACATTATAATTTCAGAAAGTGAAAAACTGAAAGAAAAATAAAGGAGGGAAGAGGTTTATAGGTTAGGCGGGAGTGGACGGCGGTGGGACTTTACAAAGGATGGTCAACAAAGACTTAGAACTAAAGGTTAAGAAAGAGCAAGCGCTGTAGCTGCAGAAGGGAATAGCAAACAGAGGTGCTGAGTGGGAATAAACTTGACCTCTTTGAGGACATTAAGAGGACTTGTGGGGCTAAAGAGGAATAAGCAAGACAAACATGAGAGGAGATTGGTTAGGACATGTGGTCAGACTGGACCATCATGGAGCTCTGTCAGCTGCTTTTATTTTCAGGGTAATGGGAAGCCATTGGAAAGCTTCAACTGTCATTAGTGTGCTCTGATTTACATTTAAAAAATGCATCTTGACTATACGGTGTCAGAAAGATTGGAAGGGAATAGAGAAGAGACCATTTAGGAGGGTTTGTGGAGATCCAGGGGAGATGGTATAGCAGCTTGTAGCATTAAGGGCATGATGAACAAATAGATAAGTAGCCAGTTTCTCACCATATCTGATGACAGACGGAGCCTACAGACCTTGATTTTTGTTATGTGAGATACACGGGAGAGAGAATTATCAAGGATAATCCTGAAGTATGAATATATGAAAAACAGTACCATTTACCAAAAAAAGAGGAAGACTGAAAGAGTGGCTAGTGTCAAAAACCAGGAATTCTTTTGGGGATACAGTAAGATTCAGATAATTTTTAGACATAGTTATAGCTATGGGAATACATGAAATAAGAGTGGCTACCATTTATTGAGCAATTAAAATGTGCTATGCCTTCTAAGCATTTTATATTCCTTAACTCATTCAATCCTCACAAAAATTCTATAAACTGTCTACTGACTTTTATTCACATTTGACAGATTAGGCAATTAAAACACAGAGAATGCAAACAACCTACTTACTGAAGCTTGCTGTTAGTGAGCAGCAGACTGGGGTCTGAACCCAGGGCTCTGGTTCCAGAGCCTCTGCGCTTAGGAAGTACACTCTGCTGATCCTATTACCATGTGTTTATTAAGAAGGTCAGCATAGAAGTTTGCATTATAATATAGTGTGTGAGAATAATGGTTAGTAAGGAAAACTAAGGGAATGAAGAAAAGACAAACGTTAGAAAACACTTTCTTCCATTATAATAACCTGCTTGCACTATCAGAAAGAGTTTAATTTCTTTCATCTCCTTCGGGGATTTTATGTCTGAGTCAGCAGTTTCCAGTTTTCCATTCTTTAGAATTAAGATGTACTTTATGAATGATGTCTGAGTCTTTAAATTCGAAAAGGTATTCAATTTGTGCAAATTAAAAGGGACCTTTTGTGTTCTCATCTTACTCGTCTATGTTTTCCTCCCATAAATATAATAGGCCTTTGGTCAATTAAAAAAAATACTTTTAATGAATGAGTGAGAATCATTATGGCATTGCTGCAGCAATCTTTAATGGTACACATCTCTGTAATGTCTTTCTATTAATGGATTGTGTTCTTTTTTTAAATGCTTTCAGATTGGGTTGAATTTAGTCCCTATGAGATTGGCATGGCCAAGTATGGTACTTTCATGGCTCCTGACTTATTCGGAAGCAAATTTTTTATGGGAACAGTTGTGAAGAAATATGAGGAAAACCCCTTGCATTTCTTAATGGGTAAGTGATCAAAATCTACTATTAGTTTATTTGACTGTTTTAAATCTTGGTACATTCTAAATTATTCTGTTTTTGCTTTATTTTTAGGTGTCTGGGGCAGTGCCTTTTCTATATTGTTCAACAGAGTCTTGGGAGTTTCTGGTTCACAAAATAAAGGTTCCACAATGGAGGAAGAATTAGGTATTGTAAAAACATGTTTACAATGTAATAATTAAGCTACATTAATAAATTTCATTAATGTGTATGCATAGAAAATTAAATCATCATAAGCATTATAACTGTTCTAAAGTTATCAATAGCTTGGTTGAGTCAACCTACATATCTTATGTGTGTGTGTGTATATATATATATATATATATATGTATATATATGTGTGTGTATATATGTATATATATGTATATATTACTTTTTAAGTATTATTCTGATATTGAAATTCATAAAAACTCTTGATTCCTAAGAATAACTTTTACTAGAGCATCTCCATTCCTTTTAGTCATTATACATATAAACATACTATTTGTGTTAGAGACTGGTCCTTTTATCAAATAAGAGTAGGTTTTTAAAGATTCGATTCATCCATAGTTGAATGGAGTATGACACTTATTATAAATTTATTAGTTTATTTACCTTTTAAATACTAACTCACTAAGAACTGTGTTAGCTTCTGGCTAATGCATACCAGAAAGAAGGGAAAAATATTTCAAATCATACCTAGTAAATTAACACCAATGATTTTCCTTAAATCTAACTCATTAGCCCATAACAAATTACAAATAATATTCACAAAGCTTGAAAATCTCAACTGAAGACCAGTGATTTTCAGTCGTTGTAATATGAATGCCATTGGGACATATGTTTCTTTGATGATTGAATGAGCTTTAGTGCAAATTAGACAAAACAGCCATTCGCTATATCAAAATGCCTCGCCACCGACATAATCAGTGTTGCATTTTGCTATTTTGGGTGGCACCCGGAGGAGCAGAGGAATGCTAAATCTGAATTTAGGGCCAGGCTTGCAGGGGCTGGGGAGGAGGGTTCCGTAGATTATGATCCCACTAACTACCTACCTCTTTTCTATCCATGATAAATCACACATCTATTTGAGGGCAGATTTCACGGAATGACGTAAATGACATTTTCACCGATCAGTTCATTTGAGGAATACTTGCATGTATACTATAGGGTTTTTTTTGAAAAGCTCTCTTTACTTATTATAGACAATGACAGCTGATTTAATTAAGCTTTAGATGCAAAATAGAATACAATTGTAACATTAATTAATACACTACAAGTTGGCTTATAAGTAGTGTTATTATTTTTTTATAAGAATTGATTTTAATCATTTGATATTGATGTTAAATGCAGTAATTTCTATAGTCCTTACTATTTTCTTCAAGAGTGTTATTTGTATTTTTGTGTAGTTCTTAGTAAGAAGGGAAGAAATGACTTTACAACTGCATTAGAGCCAAAGATTTTTAAATAAAAAATAAAAACAAACAAAAAGGCACTTTGCACTTGAACTTGCTACTGTCCTCTGAGCATCACTCAGTTAATGAGCAGCTGAGGTCGGCGGAACTCTTGAGCCTGCTCCGGCCTTGACATTGTCTTAAGGGTAAATGCAAGGCAAGGTGTATAATGCTGATGACTCGATTTATTTTAATGAACATTATATCCCAGATGAATATCTTATTCTCACCTTCAGTTTTGTGGAAATAACTAACTCTTCCCTAAGTTTTGTGAACATTTCAGGAAAGGAAAAAAGAGAACAAAAACAGAGGCACCACATGTTACGTGCCTTGCTTCTGTGTGTCCTGCTGTTGAGTAATACAGATAACCTAGGGTTTGTTATTTCTGACTCCTAAGGCAGGAAGAGTAGCCCTGGAATAACACATCTGAGGGTGGGAGAGGCCGCGGCCGAAGGCCAAGAAGGAGAGTGTTTATACTGAAAGGTCCTGAGGATATTCTTTATTGTAAGATGTCGCTTTTGAAGCCAGTGGTTTGGCAGCATCTTTACTTGTTCTCTGTGTCAGACGTAGGGGGAATATTGTGTACTTGAGAGGCAGCGGTTAGCAGGATGTGTTACCTCAGATTAGGTAAGGTTTCCAGAAATGAGACCGGAGACGTGGCTGGGGTGAATCTGAAGATGCCTGGCGACTCTTTGATCCACTGACTGACTAGTCTACTACTTAAAAGGGTATTCAGAGGGGATTTTTTGGTATTTTCCCCCCTTCTGAAGAAAGACCTAAATTGGACCACAATCAGAACTCTTGAACTAAATCAGAACTAAATGAAACTCTTGACATTCTCAAGGAGTTCTGAATATGAACACTCTATGCTTTTGAAGAGATAGAGCTTATCCATTATACTATAGTGACGGAAAGTAGATGAATCCAGAGTATTTAGCTATTCATATCATGAAAACATCCTTATAAAGAAGATAATATCTGGGGAAGTCATCTTCTTAAATGACAGTATCAAATATTACCCCCCTAAAAAATGTTTGAGAAAAAAAATGTTGTCTTGCCAAAATACATGTAGGACCAGAAACACACCTAGTGTATATGACCCTGGACCAGAGTGGGTCATTTCTTAACATTCCCTCTCCTCTGTACAACAAAATTACTTTCTGTAATAGTCATGAAATGAAATGAATAATATTAGCCAGTAAACATTTTTTTATTGAATTTCATATGGGTCATCATGCTGATAATAGTACATAAATCTAAAAAAAAATTTTAAAGTCTATCTGCTGTCTCAAACATTTATTAGCCCTTTCTTTATGAACCTTGATCATTCATGTATGTGACATTTATATAGGTATAATAAACACACAAGTCATATGGGGAAACCAAATGTTATACCTGTATCTCTGAATTTAAAGGTCCCAAATTATTCTGTCACTGAACATTATAAATTTGCAATCAGTTTCTTAAAATTAAAAAAAACTCTGTTGAGTAGTAGAAGAAAAGAAAGTATTACTATACACAAAGTGGTTTCATGTAAGTGTCCAAAGAAAGTGATTTTTCTACAAATGATGATCATAAGAGTGGTCTGTGTATTCCATCATTTAGGTACTTTTTGAAAAAAGACAACTGGGTACTATACCAGATTTTTGCTCCTGTCTGATTTAAGAATGTACAGCTTCCATTTTGTTTTTATAATTGCTGTCTTTGTTCTGAGGAAGAACAAATTGTCATCACCAAAAGGCATATTTCAACAGATGATTTCCAGTATTATTGAAAATCAGAAGATACCTTCTATTAGTAGCTTTCATTCAGTGTGATGAAACTGTAATCCCCCTGTATATTTTGTTTTTATGCTACATTTACTTTCATAAATACCACTTAAACATATTTAATTGAAGAAAAATCTAACAAAGTATTATAAGGAGCTTCCTATGATCAAATTATTCTTCCTGTCAGAATCAAGATAAGTAAAAATTCTCCCCTTTAAATCATGAATGAATACATTTTAAACTGATTATCATGTTTTGGGAAATTTTGTTTTCCAATGAGAAATTTGAAATACTAGTAAATCTCATAAATTTAGATTTACTAAATTGAGCTAAATTTACACTGGTCAGTCGAGGAAACCTCACTCTGGTTTTGTTGAGATCACTTCCTTACCATAAGTTTAATTGTGAATCTTGACATTGAGATCCTTTAATTGACTTGTTTTCTTTCCACAGAAAATATTACAGCAAAGCATATTGTGAGTAATGATAGCTCAGATAGCGATGATGAATCACAAGAACGCAAAGGTAAGAAATCCGGAACCTTCAATGGCAGAAATCCAGTAAGGAGAGGATATAAATGTTTTGTCTGTTTCTCTCACTCAAGATGCTGATGATAGCCTCTGCTTAATGCACTGAGTGATAGAATGGTAGCCTTCAACTCAGATAATTAATACTGTATATGTAATAAAACACACATCACAAAAATATCTTCTCTTTTCTTTTTAATAACCTCAAAAATATTATCAGTTGGACAGAGACCAAACTGAGATGATGGAAATACCAAATTATGTTTTAAGACTGTTTAGAGCATTGGGCTTCTCCACAAGAAAATTGTGATTGGGAATGTTTTTACATAGCTTTAACCATTCCTGAGCTTTATACCATTGCCAACATTCCTTCTGTTAGGAAGGCTTCCTTGATGAAGTTGGGTAAAATTATCAAGAATTTTTTGCTGCATGTATTTTTAGTATAAGTGAATGATTTTACATTTTGACAAGGCAGTTTTCAGCTTGGTGTGGATCACAACAGTAAGTGGTGGAGTCGGGAGGGATAAGGCAGGGATCAGGGGTATTTGTTGGAAATGTTACGTGATAAAATGAAGTGATTTTACATTTTGACAGTGTTTTGACACAACCATTTGTACAGATGTTCCAGATACTCCAAAAACAAACAAAAAACAAAGACAAAAAGAAGATTTTTCTAACTGGGTGAGCATGTCCTCAGTGAACAGTTTAAACACGATCATTTAGAATTTAGAAAATATTAAATGCTTTCTTGTTCAAACTCAATGAATTCCACCAGCCATGGTATAGATATCGGGAGAGTCTGTTTTATCCTTGTTGAATCAACACTAAAATTAAAATTGGCTTTTCATAACTGGCATGTCAAGTCCTATTAAGATGAGTTTGTGCAAATTAGAGAAGTGCCTTCTTTGGGAATTGCAGCTACACAATCCCACAGCTTGGCTAGGGAGCAGTTTCTCGTGCAAATTGAAAAAGGGAATCCTTCCCTGGACAGACAAAGCTCTTTACTAGGCAAAAGGCATGGCCAGTGGTGCCAAAGCTGGACTTCAGTCCCCACTGTCTGGCTGCCTTATGCAGCCAGGGATTTGCCTATCTATGCCCAGGTCATTAGGCAGGAGCTGAAAGAACCCTGCCCTCGAAGGAACTGAGTCTTTATTCTGGTTCCTTCATATTTTTTATTTTAAATTTTTAGTTCAGGTCTTTTTTTATTTTGAATTTCCTCCTAATGAAGAGAGCTAGCCAGTACAAAAAGGATAGACAGCATTATGCTTAGCATTTCTAGAATTAATTATGTATTGGTTTAGGGACTATCAAGAAATGTGATAATGGCTGTCAATTATTAGGTTAATTGCCATAGATAATCATACGTTCAATCACCTCTGTAGTACTAACTGGTTATCTTAAGGCTGGTTGTTCAAAGACCCTTTAAATATGTTTGTTTTGGTTTACTACCAGCCTAGATTGGAGAATGATATTTAGGATGTTTTCCAGGATTTATTAGGTCATAATATTCATTTTTTCCCTTTTAAATATACTTTATTTTTTAGGGTAGATTTAGATGATGCACAGCAAAATTGAACAAAAGGTATAGCAAGTTCGCATATATTCCCTGAACCCACACACACACAGCCTTCCCCACTATCAGCATCCCGTCCCAGAGTGGTACATTTGTTAGAGTTGATGAGGCTTCACTGATGTATTATTACCACCCAAAGTACAGACTTTCAGTTCACTCTTAGTACTATATATTCTATTGGTTTTCACAAAGGCATACTGACATGGATCCACCGTATCATACAGAGAGGTTTCAGTGCCCCAAAGTCCTCCGTGTGCTGTCTGTTCACCCCTCTGCCCCCTCTCCCCCAGCCCCTGGCAATAACTGATCTTTTTACTGCCTCCACAGTTTTGCCTTTTCCAGAATGTCATTGAGTTGGAATCATATCGAATGTACATTTTCAGATTCACTTCTTTCACTTAATAATATGCATTCAAGCTCCTGCATGTCTTTTCATGGCTTGATAGCTCATTTCTTTTAACAAGGAATAATAGTCCGTTCTCTGATGTACCAGTTTTTTTTACCCATTCACCTACTGAAGAATATGCTTCCAGATTTGGATAATTAGAAGTTAACCTGCTGTAAACATCCATGTTCAGACTTTTGTGTGGATGTAAATTTTCAACTCCTCTGCATAAAGAAGCATAATTGCTGGTCTTATGATACAACTGTAACTTAGTTTTATAGGAAACTTCCAAACTATCTTACAACGTGGCTGTGCCATTCTTGCACTCCCACCGGCAACTCATGAGAGCTCTTGTTGCTCCACATCCTCGCCAGCATTTGGTGGTGTCAGGAATTTGGATTTTGGTGTTTCTAATAGGTGTGTAGTGCTCTCTCATTGCTTTATTTTGCATTTCCCTGATGACATGATCTTTTCATATGCTTATTTATCATCTGCATGTCTTCTTTGGTGACTTGTCTGTTGAGGTCTTTTATTCATTTTTTGAGCTTTGCTTTCTTATTGTTCGGTTTTAGGAGTTCTTTGTATATTTTGGATAACAGTCCTGTATCAGATGTGTCTTTTGCAAATATTTTCTCCCAGTTTGTGGCTTGTCTTCTCACTCTCTTGAGGCCTTTCATTTTTGGTCATGTGATTTTGAGCAAGGTCTTCCGGCATTTTCAACTTTAGATTCTTCAGATGTATGCTGGCCTCATTTTACCTACACTCACAGAATTGTTTTAATTATCAAATTAACAAATGCATATAAAGGGCTTTAAATTTAAAAGGACTTTGCAATATACATTTACTATTAGTATTATAGCTAGTAAGCAATGGATAGCATTTAGCTGTTGGGTGATGGGTTTGCCCTACTAATGATGTTATTTCCAAATATATCATACATAGATCCTCTGCTGGTATAGAAATGGGGTTTGTTAGTAATAGTAATAATAATAATAATAATAATAACAACATTGAAGAAGAAGAAGTAACATCTCCAAACCCTTGGGAAATACCTGAGTACCTTATTCATATCCTTGCCACTGGAGATATAAGTCATCTACTTTACAGCCTGATTTGTTCTGGTGAAATATTTTCTTTGTTATATTTGGCATTAGAAAAGTGTGGGAGTAGAAAAGCCTATATATGTTTATTTGTGAGTATTTGGTCATCTGAGTTGGTCTGAAAGAAAGATACCTGTATATACTCATATCTTTGTGAAGATAAAAATCAGTATTTATTATGGTTTTATGTATTTAGTTAACATTTATTGGAAATTATGAAGTTTGAACATAGACTCTCTTTTCTCTCAAAACACACACACACACATACATAAACCATAAACACAGACACATGGTTTTGAAAGATGCATGTATATTTACATACAAATGTCCCAGAAATCTGAACAGAAGAGATCAAGGCAGGTGAGGTAAGCTGTACCATATGGTGTTCTTAGATTTGGATTAGGAATGAACATTACTGATGATGATAATGATATTACAAGTATTTTTTTTACCACCAACCAGTGTTTTTTAAGAATCTAATATGAGCCAGGCACTCTTCTAGGAAATGTGCATGTCTGCACTAACTCAGTCAGTCAACACAACAGCCTTGTGAGGTTTACTGATGATGACATGGAGGCTGAGAAGGGCTAACTAACCCGTAAACACAGGAAGGAGGGTTAGGATCCAGGCAATCTGAATTCGGAGCCAGTGCTCTAAATAATACACAACATGGCTTCCCGGGAGTAGTGATGTGTGCATAGGTTTTAAAGCAAAAAGTCATTATAAACTGCTTCTTTTGGAAAGCTGCTGAATTTTAAAACATTCTAAGGCATGTGTTTGAATTATAGGGCTTTAAACCCCAGACTTTATAAGCAAGAATAACATGGCAGTTCACAGGGTATTTATTGAGCAGCAAATATGCCTTGAGTCCTTCAGTTTCTCTTCTCAGTTTGCATAATTTCTGGATGTTTGCTAAACAGAACAAAGAAGGAAATTTAGGAAATCAAGAGGATAGGATTAGCTACTGTTGATTTTTCCTGCGTGTGTCTGTGTAGCCAGGGCAAAGAAAGAAAAGGCTTAGAAAAGAGAAGAAAGGGGAAATAGAAGTTTGCCTGGAAATCTAAAAATACACCAGGTGACACTGTCAAGAATACAACCTTTACGCTGAGTACAGGTAAAGTAGGAAGAATTTAAAAGCAAAAATGATTAGCTGGCATATTTTCTATATTAATTTATACAAATAAATGTTTGTTAAATCAAAAGCCATAGAGCTTCATTGTTAATTTTAACATTCGATAGCCCAAAGAAGATCTTTTTCTGAGGGGACTGTGGAATCCGTATAACGATCTTCTCTTTCTCTTAGGCACCGAGGATGAAGATGCTGAAAGGGAATATCAAAATGACAATCAGGCCAGCTGGGTCCATCGTATGTTAATGGCCTTGGTGAGTGATTCAGCTTTGTTCAATACCAGAGAAGGACGTGCTGGGAAGGTGCACAACTTCATGTTGGGCTTGAATCTCAACACATCCTATCCACTGTCTCCTTTCAAAGACTTTACCACACAGGAGTCACTGGATGAAGATGAACTGGACGCAGCTGTAGCAGGTAAATGCACAGACTCACCCGTGGGCGCTGCTTCAGGAGATCTTTACTCTTTCTTTGGGAGAAGTGTTTAAAATATTACTAACACCTATTAATAATTCTTAATACTGACACTCACTTTATAGTAGCATGCATTTAGTGTGTGAAGGGCTTGGAATTACTGTTTATTGGAAGAAAAAAATTCATTGGACAGGAAATGGCATAATCAGATCAGCATAGAAAAATCTCACTGAAATATTGAGGGGGACCTTAGATCCTCCCTGTGTTGGTTAAGGTTCACACACAGGAAACAGGAAATGCTCTCCCTTGTTTAACTGAAAAGGATTTAAAGTAGGGAATTAGATTCTTACAAAATTGTTCCAAGGCTTGGAGGAGTAAACTGCAGGCTGAGCTTCCAGGAATAATTCCCAAAACACTTCAGATTCACCTCCACAAACGCCCCCGCAGCTGTGTAGTAGAAATAGCAGGAATGTGTCATTTTTTCCTTTGCGTGGGTGTTTCTCCTTGGCAAAGGAAAAGTCTCCGCAGGACCGGATCCTTAAGGGAGTTTGGAAAGTGTGGTACTTAGCCTGATTCTAGTTCCATGGAGTAATGCATGCAACCCAGAGGCAGGAGTGGGACTGAGTTTGCCAGGCCCCCATGTCCATCAGGCCATTGGATCTGTCCGTCCTGTTCTCCAGAAGGTCAGGTAACTTTCAAAAGGCCACCTGGGAACAACCCACTCACGTTCAGGTTTGTCATTTTGCCAAATTCCAAAGAGTAATTCCCTTTGTTCTTCAGTTCCAGGCATGTTCAATTTAAAATTTAAATTTGCCTTGGTGACTAATCAGAACATAATCATTTTTCTTATACTGATCCTGTCATCTTAAACTTATCTCCTTCACCATGCCATCTTTTTCCCTTAACTGTCCAAATTGTCATTTCTCAGTCATTTTTGCCATAAGACATTGATAGGTTGCTATAAAAACTTAAATGGGATTTTCCCTAAAAACTTGCAGCTGCTCTTTGTTTAAACATTGTAACTAAAATACTTGTGAAAATTGGGACATGGCTTTGAGTTTTGTCACTCTTTTGGTAGTGCTGTTTCTGTTTGTTGCTTGAGTTTAAGGGAAATTGCAAAATTAAAAGCTGCCCCGTTGTTTAAACAAGAGGATTGTAAACTCACTATACTTTGCATTATATTTATGACAGTGAAGTCTTGGGTATGAGGTATGTTTGATTATATGCCTGCAATCCAAACTCTTTCAAGTTAACTATAAAAAAGTCTATTTGTGATAAAAATCACTGCTTATTTTTAAATTCATCCAAAAAAATAACTTGGCCGTACAATCAGTGTCTTTATTCTTCTTGGGTTGTGGCGCATGATCATACTTACTGCCATTTTTAAACCAATTAAATGTGCTTTTTGGACGAATGATGATGGGCTTATAAAAAAAAAACCTTAGCATCAGAGAGCATGAGAAGCTAGAAAGATTCTTTAGTTATTTTACTCTAGAAAAGTAAGAACAAAGAAGATTGTTGCCATCTTCACCTGAAATTGCTCAGCAGAGCTGGAATTGGGACACAGGCCCCTTGGCCTTGCTCAGAAGCCTTTTCCTTCTGCTAGAGTCCCCTCCCCACAGCTTCTGGTTTTCTTAGTCATTATCTCGCTGATGTAAAATGGCAGTTTCCTTTGTGTGTACTTTATTCTACCTGTTTTACATTATTACTTTGATCATATCAGCCAGCATAGTTCCTTCTGTGGTTTGCACAACATGAGTTCTGCACTGCACATTTTAGTTAAGTTCCTGGTAGGTTTGTAATATTTTATGTGGATTCAGAGGTATTAGGGTTGCTAGATAGAATACAGCAAATCTAGTTAAATTTAAATATCATATTACACACACACACACACACACATATACTATAAGTATGGCCTTTGGAACGTTTGAGACATATGTGTACTAAAATTTATTTCTTGTTTATCTGAAATTCAAATTTAACTGGGCACTGTATTTTATTAGATAAATTTGGTAATTAGATAAATGAGGTAAATTTGGTAATTTCCTATTAGATAAATAGGAAGTATGGCTCTTTCATTATCCTTACCTTCTCTCAAGTTCTTCATTTTCATCTTCCTTCTTTCCATTGTACATTCTTACACCCACACAGACAGCATTTATCTATGATGAATTTGTTTATGCAGAGCATTTGCAATGTCTTTGCTACTAGAGATCTAAATGTCAACAAGACAGATGTATTCTTTGCCCTCACAGACATTCAAACCATTTCTTGACCCTTCCTTGACCTTTTGATTCACGGAGGGATGTATGTGCCTTCGTTTACAATGATAGAAAAGAAGAGCGTGACTAAATACCAGCGGCCCTGGGCCAGGGGGAGCCGAGGCTCAGTGAGACGCACAGTCGTCATGTCTGTTCTCCCTGAGGCCGTGGGGGGTAACAGTCGTACCCCACCTTAGCTGACTCCTTTCTTTATTTGGTGTCCTTTGAAAGAAGAGTCAAGAACGGTCTTCATAAAATAAAATGAGAAAGTAGAAAATGTGGTCGTCCTCGAATACGATACTACATAGACCACACATTCCTTTTGTTGAGATATTTTGAAATGTTTTTAACCTAAAATCGTTTTAAATTAATGATCTTTGGGAAGAACTTTGAATTTTATTTCCTAGTGTATATCTCATTAAGATTATATTTTTACTCACTTCCATTGAAAAAATGTATACGTACTTTTTAGCAAAAAACACAGTCAGGCCAGGGATAAATTCATTTAAATTTATAATTTACAGGCCAACATTGCTAAAAATGACTGCATTTTAAATTGAATTTACTGAATCAATTAGTGCTCCTATTTAAGTCTTCGTTAAAACTCCTATTTATTATACTGTTAAATGACATAATTAAAACATTATTTAAGGTTATTTTTCTTTCATTTTTGCCCCGCTAGTGCAAAAAAACGAAAATAGAGATTTTTATGTTATCTAGATATTCTTTAGGGGAAAATCATACATTTTAGTTTCCCTATGATGGATTTGTTTATGCAGATTAAAATGAGCATCTTAGAAGTAAATTCATTTTTTAACCTAAAATTAGAAAAAAATCACTGCACTATTTTTGTGCCTATTGCTTCACTTTGCATGCAATCTTTTGAAAACAAGAGAAATAAGATACTGAAATTCCCTTCATTTATTTACTTCAAAATATTTGTGTATCTGTAGAAACTAATTTTAAAGAAGCTGTCCATTATGTACTTCCTTCCTTTATACTTTGTGTTTGTGTTATTTACTGTGACACACTCCATCTGGAATAAGAAATTGAGACATGAGTTAATTTGGGCTAGCATTCAAACATGAACATCCAAATATTTGTAAACAGAATCTGTGATGTATTTATAAAAGGACCATCACAGATATCTGCAGCTGAACTGCTTTAAGGAAATGGTACATAATTAGAAAAAAGCATGTTTTCATGCCTATCAAAAAACTTGATTAATTTATTCACAGGTTTGGAATCCATGTATGCTTTAAGTTATGGGAGCATATTCTTTAATAGTGGCATTTATCAAATTCTCTATGACATTTTAATAGATGTTATAAAACAAATCAGGTTCAAATTCAAATAAATTTGAAAAATTAGCAATTCCATTCCCCTCCTCACAATGCAGTGGGGTACCCTCATGAGTTTGAGAAGTCCTACTTAAGGCCTTGGGTATAGTACTTTAAAACAGACTGGCTTAGAATTTAATCCTGGCTGGACCATTTATTAGCTGGACAATCTTGAGCAGTTACTTCGTGTAAGCCTCATTTATGACATTTATTGCTCAGTGACAGAAGAGTAGAGTAAAACTAAAAACTAGCAACCATGATGGAACCTTAAGTTAGTGAGAGTACAGCAATCCTTACTATTTACTCCAAGTTTACTTATAACATAGAAATAATAATGGTAGAGTCAGGGAGGATTAAGTAGCATCTTCATTAAAAAGTGCAGTTAGCATCCTAGTCCCCGGTTGGCACCCACCTTAGATCCAGCAGTTACTCCATGGCTTCCCCTGAACATTGCACCCTGGAACCCCCAATCCATACCAACTTTAGCTCCAGACATCATGCCAGGGCACCCCCTGTGCTGAGCCCTCACAAATCCCCTACCTGCACTGGCTTCATCTTTAACAGTCCCATCAGGGTGCCCCCTATGTAAAGCACTCTGGGATCCCCTGGCCTGCACTTGCTTCAGCTCCAGCCATCCCACCAGGTCAGCCCAGTGCAGAATGCCCAGGGACACCCAAACCTGCACCCTCTCCAAGCTCCAGCTAGACATACAAAGCTGACAGACACATGCAGCTACAAGAGATGTTCCTACACAAAGCCACTCCTCCAAAACTGGGAGAAGTAGCTGTTGCCCCTAAATCACAGAAACAAACACAGGGAGTCAAAGGAAGTGAGGAAGCAGAGGAATGTGCTCCGAACAAAAGAGCAAGACAGAACTTTAGAGAAAGAACTTAACAAAACAGGGTTAAGCAGTCTACCTGGTGAAGATTTCAAAGTAACAATTATGAAGATTCCGAACTTGAGAGGAGAGTGCATGAACCCAGTGAGAACTTTGACAAAGAAATAGAAAATATTAAAAGCAACCAATCAGAGTTGAAGAATACAAGAATCAAAATGAAAAACACACACTAGAGGGAATCAACAGCCGATTAGAGGATGCAGAACAGATCAAAGACACAGTAATGGAAAACAACTAGAATGAACAGCAAAAAAAAAAAAAAAACTTTTAAAAATGAGGAGAGGTTAAGAGGTATCTACAACAGCTTCAAGTGAAACAGCACTCTTAATGTAGGGGTCCCAGAAGGAGAAGAGAAAGAAATGGGCAGGAAACATTTTTGAAGCAATAATAGCTAAAAGCTTCCCCAAGCTGGGGAAAGAAATAGACAACCAGGTTCAGGAAGGACAAAGAGCACCAAACAGAATGGACCCAAGGAGGTTCACCCCAAGGTGCATAATAATTAACATGGCAAAGATTAAAGAGAGAATCCTAAAATCAGCAAGAGAAAAGCAGCAGTTGCTGCAAGGGAAACCCCATAAATCTGTCAGCTGATTTTTCAACAGAAACTTTCAGGCCAGAAAGGCATAGCATTATATATTCAAAGTACTAAAAGGAAAAAATGTAAATTCAACAATACTCCACTCAGCACGCATGACATCTTGACATTTGTGCCGACATGGATGGACCTAGAGGACATTTGCTAAGTGAAATCAGACAGAGAAGATCAAATACCATAGGATTTCATTTAACTGTGTAATCTTAAAAACAGGACAAATAAACAAAGCAGCAATAGACCCATAAGAACACAGAACAAACTGGTGGTTACCATGGCAGGGAAGAGATGAAGGGGATAAAAAGGTATAGACTTCCAATTAGAAATAAATCAAGGGATGAAAAAGTACAGCATAGGGGATATAGTACACCTGAAACTAACATATGCTGCATGTCAACTATTCTTCAATAAAACATAAATTAAAATAATGAGTACTTTAAAAAAGTGCAATTAGTCCAAGACACAGTAAGGAACATAGGGAACACATAGTGTAATTGAATATTACTTTAAGCTGTTGAATGTTTTATTTCTTAAGCTTATATATCATGAAACTTTTATTTTGTGGATTGAACATCTGTTAATATCTGGCAAAACCATGCTTTTGGCAACACAGTCAAGGAACATTACTTCCCATCTATTTATCTAGAAAGTGGGAACTGTGGTATTTGGCTACATGCCATAGCTGGGAATTGGTCCACAAAATAATTTTTTCTCTCCACTGTAATCTTGGATTTTAAAGAGGAAAAGGGACATGCCAGTTTCATGATAAGAAGAGGCAAATCAAACAGAATATGGGAGAAATTATTTGCTTTGGGTTAATCTTTTAGCTTTGAAAATTTGAAAAAGCATTAAGTTTAGAAAGCCAAAAAAATATTTGGGAGTTAGCACTTTATTATATAGGGAAATGCACTGCATTATAAAAATACTTCCATTAATGTGATTTTAAATGTTTTGTGTTTGTGATAAAATATACACATTAATGTGCTTTTAATGATGAATAGATACATGTGTAGATAGCCCCTCTATACATTGTAGGTGTTGCCTTTTAAGTTACCATCTTAAACTCTTTTGGTGTTATGGTGATGCCATTTTTTGAAGAAATAGTAGGATATTGTGCATAGGGTTTCGGCTTTGTGGATCTGGAATTCCATGGGCCTCAGTTTTCTTCTCTTTCAAATGGCACTAATAATACCTCCTTTGTAAGAGTCTTATAAGGATGGTAAGTCTTGCGTATGAAATACCTTATACATTATAGTCACTCAAAATAAATGAAGCTACTTTGAGGAGAAATGAAAGTACCCAAATAATGAATTTCCAGCTTCTTAGTAAAATATATAAAAACTAATATAAGACAAAGACTCAATTTTTCACCTTTAAAAAGTTCACTCGTAATTTTTAAACAATAAATATTTCAGATGAATTAAATATTAAAATTAAAATTGAAATTGATAATATATCTATTTTCCAATTTTATAATTTTTAAGTTCCAGGTTCTGTGACAGATAGAATCTTGGCTGGTGGCAAAGTAAATATCACTAAAATATGTAGGTAGTTGGTGTTAAGAAAAGAGAATTAACCCAAAGATAATTGTGTAAAGAATGATTTCTCTTCTCTGTCATTGTTGACCTAGGCATTTACCTTAAACATAGCAAGACTTCTTTTTGTAAGTTGGCCTGCCTTTTCATTCAGTCATGTGATTTTTTCTTTTTTTTCCCTATTTGTTTTTCATCAAAGACCAATCATTCATGCCTTCCCTGTTTCTTTCAGTTGTTCTGGGCAATTCAAATTGCCTCAATTGTAAACTCTTCCCCTCTTTATTCACAAACGTCACTAGTGTATGTTTGTATTGTTCATCTATTATGCGGTATTTTAAATACAAGAAATTTTGATGTGAGAAAAGGAAGTTAACTCTCTGTTAACTGTAGAGACTTAGAAGAATATTAATGTTTTCTTAAGTAACTCAACCAAAGTCTAATTAGAACTGTTTTGGTTCATATTGAAATAAACTTCAAAGCTAATTGTCTCACTGGTGTTTTCATTTCAGCTTTTAGTAATAATGAGGATTGTGGATTTATTAGAAAGTAAGAACTTAAAAGACTTGCTTTCTTTTTTGATCTCTTGTTCCTAAAATGTATTGAAAAAAAATGACTTTTGCGGAATTATCGCCAGTCCATTCTTATTTAGAAATGGATGGTGGAGGAAACTGACATGCAGGGGGTTCCTACTGTGCGGATAATAGATATTAACTTCATTTTATAGTTGATTCTAGAAAGAGGTTCGCCTGCCCCTTTAAATTTTATTGCTGCCTCTATGAAAATGCTTGCCAAGTGGAATTTAAAAGCTCATGCAGAGGTGGTAACGCATGTCTAGGATGACCACCATCACTTTCCTCTAATGTAATAGACTCCCTCTTGAGCTTTGCCAGCCTTCTTCCCAACAGAAAAAGTGAGAACAGACGTGAGGACAAGGTGACAGAATGAAACAATTGCATGTCATTTCACGCAGCTCAAATCAATTCAATTCTGATTTATTTTTTCTTGGGATGTGAATTAGGATCACCTCTCAGACATGTGAAGAACAGCATAAAAAGAGTGTTTTCATAAAACTAGTGATTTCTGTCTTGCTCTTTTTCAGATCCCTTGTCAAGCTCAATCCATGCTCCTTCCATACTATAGCCACACTGGCTCTTTGCTGCTTCTCAAACATATCAAGCCCTATTCTGTTTTAGGGCCTTTGTTCTAGCTCTTCTTTCTCCTTGGGAAAAAAATATCTCCCCATTACCTTTAGATAGCCAGTTCTGTGTTACTAATCTGGCCTCAGCTCATAGTGTCCTTCTCAGAGAGGTCTCTCCTGGTTATCCAACTGAAGTTGCTCCCTGTTATATTACCACTACTATTTTCTTCATTGCATTTTTCACTACCTGAACTATCTTTTAATATATTCATTTACGGACTCATCAGCCATGTGCTCTAGTAGCACAGAGTATGTATCTATCTTGTTCAGCACCTAGACTAGTGCCTGAATAGTAGCAACGATACATGTTTGCTGAATGTGTTGACTGGATTATTTTCTTGGACTCTCACCACCCAGAGGGATGTAGTGTGAGACCCATTCAGACTCCGTCAGTCCCTACTTGTGTCACTTCAGAGATGAATTTATTTCATGCCCCATTTATAGATACCCTCTACCTCACATAAGACTTAAACAAGATAGTATATGAGGCAAAGTTTAAGCCTGAAAAATCCAATGTAATGTGAAGTAACGCTACTAAAGGGGTCGGGATGCACAGCTTAAGAGTCAGTACTGGGGCCTGAGCTAAGTACTTGCCATGCTTTGTGCCGCTTAGTCCTCACAGCAACCTTACTTGACAGATTCTCTCACCCGGGTATTACAGATGAAGAAACTAAGAGTTAAAAGCAATAATTAATCTATAGTTGCTAAAGCTGAACTCATGCCCAGCTCTGTTTGTCTCCAAAGCCCAACAGCCAAAGCATATGGAATTCTATCTCACAAATTTACATAACCAGTATTTTTATGTGCCAAATAGTGTTAAATTGATTGTTTAATTCATTCTTTTATTTCTTTTCTTTTTAAAGATCCTGATGAATTTGAGCAAATATATGAGCCTTTGGATGTCAAAAGTAAAAAGATTCATGTAGTGGACAGTGGCCTCACATTCAACCTACCATACCCCTTGATCCTGAGACCCCAAAGGGGAGTTGATCTCATCATCTCCTTTGACTTTTCTGCAAGGCCGAGTGACTCTAGTCCTCCATTCAAGGTAAGGAGAATTTAGATAGCATTCCTACCATGTTCTTTTGCATGCTTCATAGGTATCTTAGTCCTCTTGACCCCTGTTTTTTATCCTTTTAGTGTATTTTCTACATTATCATGAGTAATATTTCTAAAACACAGATGTGATTCAATAACACCCCTGCTTAAAGAAACTTTTAAATGATTCCCCATAGTCCTGAGCAGGGCCAGAATAATGCAGTGAATTGAAAGTTTCAGGAAGGAAATTAAGGTGAGGTCTGGGAGTTAGCAGGTAAAAATAATTAGAACCATGCATGGGGCATGTCTACTGTCAGAAAAGACATAAAATAGTGTCTTGAAGATTCAGCTATGATATAGTGGGAGGAGGATGAAAACCAAGGAAGGTGTGCAGTGTTACGAAAACCAGTTGAAGATATTTAACAGCAAGTGAGTCTTTGGGGAACCAGACAAGAGCAGCTTCAAGGGTTGTAAGGGCAGAAATTACACTGCAGTAATTGGAGGATGCATGGACGTTAAAGAAATGGAGACACTTCTATAGACTGTCCAGGGAAGAAGGAGATGGGGAATAGGAACAATGCATGTGTGTGGTGGGTGGCTTGTTAAGAGACTTGAGCGTGTTTAAAGGCTGATGGCTAGGAGCTGTAATGAAGGTATTACGGAGAATGGAGAGGTGACATTTATGATAGAGTCACATCCCTAGGAGGTTACAGGGGTGAAGGGTGGATAGAAGACACAAAATGCAGGTGGAGAGAAGTATGGAAATGTCCATATTAGGTCAAGAGGCAAGGGGGGAATAATGGCTGTGGATGGAGTTTTGTTGTTAGGTGTAGGGAAGGAAAGTTAAAAAAGTACCCATTGACCTTAACCAGTGATATTGTAATATCTCAGTATGGTAGGCAGGGGTAACTGCACCTACCCTGGTGAGCATTTAGTTTGTAATTATCAAGTCACTATGTTGTGCTTCTGAAACCAATATATATTGTAATATCAACTATATTCCAATAAAAAAAGAAAAAAGTACTCATTTAAAGACTTCTAAATTGCATAGTGATTAGGACTCAGTGTTATCTTTTGAGAGTGAGAGGATGGGGATAGTGGAGCCAGGGGTGTGGGAGAAATAAATGTCTGCCTTTGTGAAGAAAGAAGTTGTGAATAGGCAATACAGAAAGGTTGCTGGGTGCACTGTGACCTCGCCCACATAAAATGTCTGTGTCCCCTTTACCTGAATCCCCCCAGCTTTCTTTAGATGCATCTTATGTGTGACCTTTCTTGACCGCCACAGGTGTAATTTCAGTACAAAGGATTTAGAAAATTTTAATTCAGCACTTTTTATCGTAGATTGTATTTAGTTACATATATACCACTTCCACTGTCTGTGACTCTCTTGGGGACTACATTATTTTATGTGTATGTGTGTTTGTTTTGTTTCAGTCATTTGATTCTAATTGCCATATATGTGTTGACCAAAATATGTGTATGTAGGACATTTTTTTGGGTGAATGAATGAGACGCTTTGAGAGAGATGTAGCTGTCCTCCCCATCTCATAGCTTAAGAAGGGGAAACTCACAAAGATTAGGTGAAATGATCCATAAACTCCCAACCAGGAAGAGTCAGTGATAATCCAGGTCTTCTACATCTGGTTTCCTTTCTATTATACTACAATTAAATGGCTCTCAGGACTAATAATGGCTATAATAATAATGGTGAATATATATATATATATCCTCATATTTAAAAAATGCTTAAATATTTGATCTTTTCATGAGGATTGGTGAGATAAGTGATCCCATCATATCAACAAATTAACAAATTAAATAAGATAATGGGTGAAAGAGCATAGCTCAGGAGCTGGCTGGGGAAGTGCTGGTTAACAAGTAATGGGACTGGACCAGATTCTAAGGCTCCAGAGTGAGAATCTAATGTTCCTCCCCTTTGCTGGCTGCCTTCCTTTACACCTGTGCAGGTACATTTTTCTGTGCTGTGTGCTGTGTGCTGTGTGCAGCAGTTGATGGTAAAACATGGTTCTCAGACTCCATAGCATTTTTGCTTTGGGGAAAAAGACTTTTATACATGAGTTATTTGGAAGAAAATTGAGAAACTTATGGTTAGTTATTCAGGTTTATGTAAGTATATATATTACAGGAGATCCATATGTGACTAGATTGGTGCATCCTGGAGTAGATGAACAGGGAAATAGATGAAACGAGGTGACAATGGCAGAGTAGCAATGAGCACATTGGAGGAACTGCAGGATCTGATTTCAAGGGACAGATATTAAGCTCCTGAAAGGAGGGCTTTATAGAAGCATTTGAGTTTGTATCTTAGGAAATGGAGAATCAGTGAAATGTTTCCAGCAGACAAATGACTTCATGAAACTGGAATTTCAGGATGACTAGTCTGACAGTGGAAAGTAATATGAATTGGAGAATGGAGGGTCAAAGATTAAAATTAAGAGGTATTTGCTGTAATCCAAGCACAGGATGATAAAGTACTGTGCAAGGGTGAGTGTCTGAGAAAACCAAGAGCAGGATTTGATGATCTAAGAGCAGTGATGGGGAGGTGAGTTTCAGTGGGTTACTCCAAGGTGATAACATAGAAGCTAGTTGTGGAGCTCCATGGAAGAAACTGTATTATTCATTTAAGCAACAGGAGTATAAAATGTCAAAGATGTTGTTTAATATATGAACCAGAGCCCCACTACCTCAATGAGTTGATATTGGAAAAAGGTTTTAAAATAAATATCATTTTGTAGCTCTAAAAAGTACCATTGTACCCTGTTGTAGTTTTCCAGTGCTCTTTGATTCATTGTGTCTAATTAAGAATATACACTCACTATAAAAAATTTGGAAATTTGGAATATAAATCAAGTGCTTCTGTTATTCATAGACAACAGCTGCTGATATTTTCTTTTAGTATTTTCTCTTAGTCTCTCTTCACTTTGTGATTTTTTTTTTGTGTGTGTGTGTGTGTGTGTCTGTGAGTGAACACCAGGGTCATGTAGTTTTGCATTCTGCTCCTTTCAATTCTAAAATTATATTTTGAGCCATTTTCCCATGCCATTTAATACTTTTTAAAATGTAATTATAAGCACAGCATGGTATCTCTGTGTGACTATGCAAGAATTTCTTTAAAAGTAGTCTATTCTCAACTTTTAGATAATTACTACTATCTCGTCACTTTTTTTCTTTATGACCATCCTCCTACATGAATCTTTAATCACACTTTTTAATATTTTCTTCGGTTGGCTTCTCAGAATGTATCTTAGTTTATGACTTTTAACAAGTATTTCCAGATTGTTTTCCAAAACTCTGCCCTAATTTACATTATTATATCAGATTGTATGTGTGAGCCCTTGTTTTACATGGCTTTGCTAACTTGAAAAAAATTATTAAAAACAAAGTTTAAAAAATTTACAATATGTCAAAAAGAAAAAGAAACACAATTCTGCTTCAATTTTCTTCCTTTGTGAGATTAGTTTGTCATTCTTATTGTCTATTCATGTTTTAAATTACTTTTAGTTAGATTATTCATGTTGCTATTACTCATTATTATTTTATATCTTAAGGATATTAAAATTTGCCATATTTTTGCAAATGATCTAATGAGTCATTTGTATTGGTATTTTTATTTCTGATGACTTTACCATTTTAAATATCTTGTTGGTGACTTCTATTGCTTTTATTCTTGAAATTCATACTTCTTATCAAGATTAGTTACATATAGATTGATGTTTTCCTTTTTATGATACCCTTTTAAAACATTTTAGCTCATTAATTTTTTTTAATGTATTGAGTGTTTATCACAATCTTTCAAAGATTTTTGAAACATTTTCGTGATGCATCCTTTATCATGTACTATATTATTATTTTAGAATGTCAGGATCTGTTTTGTGTCATTCGGTGTATTCCATTGGTCCACCTGATAATCTGACAGTTGTGATCTCAGTACTACACTGTATTGTAATAACTGCGGCTTCAATATATATTAATATCTTAGTCTACAATCACTGCAGTCACTATTACATACATAAATATGAATCTGCAGACATTTCTAGCTGTGCATTCTCATAGATATACTTTAGCATTATTTTATCAGTTCCTTCTTTCCCACCTCTCTCTCTCTCTGTATGTAAACATCTCCTTTTATTATTGGTTTGGTATAACATGAAACCTTTCACTCTGGAAATAGTGAATTCTATTTTTAAGGATTCCATATGAAGGAAATTGTAGTATATTATATATAAAATACATTTTTTTTGTCTCCAGAAATGATCTTCAACATTCAAAGTGAACAAAATGAACTTTTCAGGCTTATTTGGGATATCAGAAGTGATTTTTTAAAGTTAATGAGTGTTGTTAGGATTGCCATTATAAAATCATGCATTTCTGTACAGATGTTAAAGATTGCCCAAATATAATTTTTAAGTTCATAAAGAATATTATGATGCCATTTTAATTAAAAAGTAGAGCATAAATGCTGAGTAAACAATTAGAGCCATTACCTTTATTTCACAATTACCGATATAAGCATTTCCTAAGTATAGTCGTGAAATCTCAGGTTTTGTCAAAGAACTATGAAATGATGGCTGTCATGGCTTTTGGTAAAGGCAACCAGTTTGTATTACATCTGTGTTATAAGTGGACTTGAAAGTTGATGATGTCAGTGTCAGTGATATGGAGACGTTTTGGGATTCTTTTTCGATTAGTAGGCACACATACTAATAATAGTCCAGATATAAAGAGCCTCATGATTCTAAGTAATATTTTTATTGATTAATTTAAGAAAAGCAGTTCTGTGTTTCATTTTGTCAAGTTTCTCTTTGTTAATCCTTCAGTAAACTTAGATACACATCATGCAAATTAATTCACCACTGGGCACATCCAATGAGAAATCTAACAGGATTTGTGTTTATTGGTAGTCCAGAAAATAATCCAGGATCTTCATATTCAAGTCTGTAAAATAAATAGACTGAATTTTTTAAAGAATGGCTCTTTTGAGAATCAAGC